ACCCCAAGCACACATGGAATTTCCCTGCTCCAGGACAGACTGGTGTGACTAGGTCAGGGACAGATGCCTCTGGTTTTCCCCAGCCCAGCCTGAGGTCATCGCCAAAGGTCTCTACTCCTTCCAGATCAGGTCTCTCAGTGCCTTTGTGTCCTGGCCTGGGAGGCAGGAAGGGAGACACAGTGAAACTTATTCTGGGCCAGGCTGGCCACAAATTTTACAGGGACTTGGGGTCCAATCTGGCCCCTTGGGGAGATTTCCTCTTTGATAAGGCCTGGGCCACTCCTGAGAGTGAGGTGCTCAGAAGGGGGTGATGGAAAATCTGAATATAAGTTACCAAAGGAAAAAACAACCTGGCTGGCCCCCCTTCCCCCAAACCGCAGTTCTGGCCCAGCTCCCTCCCCCACACCCCGACTCCAGGCCTGAGCCAGGGCCCTCACTCAGTTGCTCACTCACCTGACAGCCCTTCAGCTCAGCATTTTCCACAGTAGAGGCGGATGCTGGGCAGGGTGGGAGCCTCAATGACAAATGGAAACAGCTCTCCCCCTCCTGTGTCTCTCTGTCTCCATCCCTATGTCTGTCTCTGCCTGCCTGTCTCCTCTCTTCCCTTGAAACCTCTCTCTCTCTGTCTCCCCATTTGTCCCTAGGGCTTTTATCTATTACCAAGTGGTATCCATTCTTCCCCTAGTCTAGAATATGTTTTGAATCTATCCATCCTGTCCACTCTCACATCCCCTACCTCACTCCAGGCACTTAACTTCTTCTGGACTATTGGGACAGCCTCCAAACTGAGCTCCCCAGCTCCAGTCTCTCCCTTTGCCAAACCATCCCGCCTAGGTGGCTAGCATCAGTCAGTCAGTCAGCAAACGTTTTTTAAGGCATTACCATGTGCCTGATGCTACAGTAATCTGTCTAAAGAACTGCTGTCCTATTCAAAAGCCTTATATGGCTCCCCATTGCTTGTAGCGTAAAATCCAAACTCTTCAGCTTGGTGTTCAAGGCTCCCCAGGGGCTGATCTTCACCTGCCTCTCCAGCCTTCTCCTTCCTTGCTCCCCTTTACCTATTCTAATGTGCCTTCCAGAGCATGCTGCCATTTCTTTAGGAGATCCTGGAAAAAAGTTTAATGCTCCTGAAGAGGGCTGTGGGCTTAGAGTTAGGAAGAAATGCGTTCCCAGCTCACCTTAGATTCTCATAATCTATGTGACCCTGGGCAAGCCATTCTGATTTATTGGCCTCAGTTTGTAAAATGAGGGGTCTGTGCAGGTCCTTTGGCTTTAAGTCTACGACCCCTCAAAGCTATTAAGTACCTACTATGTGCTAGGCACTGGGGGTACAAAGACAGCAGGAAAATATCCCTGCCCTCAAGGAGCTGACATGTTACTGGGGCAGTGGTGTTTCTACTAAGAAAAGCTAGTTTGGGGCTTTGTTTTATTCAAGGGAACTTGGCTGAGGTTGAGGGAGCTAGGAAAGGGAGGAAGCTTCCTTTTGCCCTGGCCTTTGTGATAGGGACTCCTGCCTAGGATGTCTGTCTGTCTGTCTGTCTTCTCCCTCCCCTCCGCCTCTCTCTCTTTTCCTCCATCTCGGTCTCTCCCTTTCACCCTCTCTCTTTCGCTGTTTCCCTCCCTCTCTTCTCCCCCTCTCCTTCCCATTTCCCTCTCCTTTCTCTCTGTGTGTCTCTTTTCTCTCTGTCTCTGTCTTTGTCTTTCCCTCTCTCTCCCTCACGTCTTCCCTTCTCCTTTCCTTCTATGTCTCTATCATCTATCTCCGTTTGACATTCTATGTTTCTGTCTTTTACCTCTCACCTCTGTCTCTCTCTGTCTCTGTCTCTCTGTCTCTCTGTCTCTCTGTCTCTCTCTCTCTCTCTCTCTCTCTCTCTCTCTCTCTCTCTCTCCTCTCTTTCTCTCTCTCTCTCCTCCCACCTTCCTCTGGATTTGAAGTCAGAAGACTTGGGTTTAAACCCTACCTCTGATGTTTATTACCTGTGTGACCATAGATAAGTCACATCACCCCCCTCCCCCAGGCCTTAGTTTCCTCATTTGGAAAATGGGGCCATTGGCATAGATGGCCTGTTAGGTCCCTTTTGGCTTGAGATCTGTGATCCAATGACTTCCCTGGACCTCAGTTTCCTCATCTGTAAAATGAGGCAGTTGGCCCAGGTGACCTCAGTGGTCCCTTCCAGGGATTTCTGATCCCTGGTCATCCTATTCCTTTGCACCCCCCTCCCCCCCAGCCTCTAAGGTGGGGCAGGGGCCCCAGAGCTAGTAGGGAGGGGGCTGGTAAGGCCCATCCTTCCCTGTTTTTAGTGGAAGAGCCAGGCCATTCCAACCTGAGCTAAGACTTCTGTGACCCCCATCATTCCCTGAAAAGAGAGGGCTCGTAGGACCGAAGCCCAGTCCAGGTCCCAGCTTCAGCTCCAGCAGATTCATTCTCAAGGCTTCGTTTTGTTGGGCTGTTCCCTTTGCAATGCTGTGCCCAGGCAGGCAGGTGGGCAGATCATAAGATTGTCAGTTTTGAGCTGAAAAGGATCTTGGAGATCATTAAGGCTTCCCCCCTCCTTTGGAGAGAGGTCAAGCTAGAACCCAGCCTTGCCCCTCAAGACCCTTGCACCAGCCCCACCCCCCCCACGCTTAGTAGTTTCCTTGGTGGATTGCAGAGGAAGGGCCGCTGGGTTTGGAATCCAAGGACCTGGGCTTGGATCTCGGCCCTTTGGTCTACCACCTGTGTGACCCTGTCACTATTTCCCCAAGTCTCAGTTTCCCTCACCTGTAAAAGAGGGTTGGACTTAATGGCTTCTGGGGTCCTTTTCATCTCTAAATCTGTGTGAGATACCTGGGTCTCTCAGTATGTAGAGCACTTGCCTTAGAGGCTGGAAGACTTGAGTTCAAACCCTGCTTAATAGCGGTGTGACCCTGGGCAAATCAATTTCTGTCAGCCTCAGTTTCCTGTGTAAAAATAATAATAGCACTTACCTAACAGGACTATTGTGAGGCTCAAACGAGATAATCATGTATCACTTTGCAAACCTTAGTGCCATATAAATTATTATTGATCAGACTTGATGGTCTCCAATCTTCTGTCTGGCTTTTAATCGTGGGGTGTGGGGACTACATGACCATGTATATTTCCTTGCCTGGAAGACATTCCATGAGTCTCTAAAATGCAGAGGGCCATGTTTATTTCCCCTCATCTTAGACCCAAACAGATCCTCGGAGTTCTTGTGTGCTGGAGGTTCTTCTGAATTACTCGGTTTGCATTGAGGTTACAGTGTTTCAATTGCCAGTTAATTGGGGGTCATATGTTACAGCATTGTAACAACAGACCTGGGCAGCATGAGGGCTGTGGGGGAGGTGAGCAAATCCATCAAGAACACTTGTTAATTACCTATTGTGAGCTAGGCACTATACTGAGTGTGGGAGTTACAAAGTAAAAAAACTGAGTGACTCCTTGCCCTCAGGCAGCTGACATCCTTTTGAGGCAGGCAACGTGTAACAGCCTATAGAAAACAACTGCATGGTAATTTCTTGGGGGGGGGATGAAGGAGACATTACTTTGGGGAGGGCATTGGGAAGGCTTTATATAGGAGGTAGTATTTGAGCTGAGCTAAAGATTGTAAAGAAAGCATGGGAAGTGAGGTACTGCCAGTGTGTGGAGAGAGGAGAAGGAGCGGTCACATGTGAAGAACCTGAAAGAAGGAGCCTTTGGCTACACCATAGTGCATTTGAAGTGGAATGATGTGAAATAAAATGGGAAATGTAGGTTGGTCAGGTTGTGACCAAGAAGACAGAGAAGCATTTGCATTTGATCCTGAAACTAATAGGGAGTCATTGGAGAGTTAGTAGTGAGCACTTGGACCGATGAAAATGGAGGATGAATTGGAATGGAGATGGACTGGATCAGTGAGGAGGCTATTGCAAAAGTCCATTCCCCACTAGTGTTCCCTAAGTGCTGGGGGTGGAGCTCATAAGACGTTGTACTTTTTCTAGCTAGCTGTCAAAGTTTACCTTTTCCTGGGAAAGATGGGAAATCACCACTGAGTAACAGGTATCTTCTCCAGTCAGGTTTCTACCACATCCCTCACTTTCTACTCCAACTGGGGTATATACTCCCCACCAGGTCCTGTCTGAGAGGGCTCAGGGAAAGATTTCTGAAAGCAGGGGTTCTTAAACTGGGATCAGTGAACTTTTTCTGAAAAATATTTTGATTTCTATTTCAATATGATTGGCTTCCTTTGTAAGCCTATGTATTTGGTGGATTTAAAAACATGATTCTGAGAAGGGATCCATAGGTTTCTCCAGATTGCCTATGGGGTCCATGGTTCAACAAAAGTAAAATATTCCTGTCCAAAAGGGACCCTGCTCTGGGGGCAGCCAGGCTGAAATCAAATCTCTTTGCTTGTAGCCTATGGGACCAGAAGTTTCCCCCCCACTTCAGCTTTTCTCCCAATCAGCCTCCCACTGGGGACACTGGCAGGAGGGAATATACATAGTTTTGGAGCAAAACAAGGGGCCTCATTCTCCAGATGTATTTATTGAGGGGTATGGTAATGGGGAAAGTAAGTCAGCATCCAGATGCATGGGGGGGGTAGCATGGGACTCTCAGGCCCTAGTGTGTGTTTGGGTATGTGGAGGGAGGGCAGTATCCAGGCACATGCTGGGGGATATGGGGGGGTTTAATTCCCAATATATGTTGGGGGGTAATGAGGGAGTCAGTGAGTGTCCAGATATGTATTGGGGGATATGGAGAGGGGCTTTAATTCCCAATGTATTTTGGGAGCAATGAGGAGGTCATTGAGTATTCAGGTGTGTATTGGGGGGACTTGGGGGACTCATCCAGTTCCCTGTATGTGTTGGGGGTAATGGGAGGCCAATCAGGACCAGATTCCCCAAATGCTGGGCTTGTGGTCCATGGCCATCTTATTTGCTAGAAGAACAGGGCACCTGCTGTCTTGTTGGAGTCCATGCTGGCCAGTGCTGATTGTGTGCCCCATCTCTTACTTCCTCAGGTGGTTTCACCCCAACATCAGTGGGCTGGAGGCTGAGAAGCTCCTTCTCACCCGAGGCGTACATGGCAGCTTTCTGGCCCGGCCAAGCAAAAGCAACCCTGGTGACTTTACCCTTTCAGTCAGGTAGGGATGCTTGGGACCCTCTGGGAGTGGAAGTGGGAGTGTGGGAGCAAGGGGTGTGAGCTTCTCTTTTTCATTTGGGGGGAGGGCTAGGATTCTAAGGTGAAAGAGGCACTGGGTCCAGATTGGGAGGTGGGGGGTAGGAATCATTCAATCCAGGGGCCGTGTGGTCTGGCCCTTCTTTCCCTCTGGCAAAGGTCAAAGCCAAGGTTAATGACAGACTATTCCACCCACCCCCAACTCCCACTTCTTCAGCTGTAGACAGATGTGCGTGCTGATAGAGGCTTGTGACTCCTGGAGTATCCAAATATTTATATGTGTGTCCAGGAGATGTAGCCAGAGCCTTGGAGTAGGGGATGCGTGGGAGAAGATACTTCTCTGTACCAAGGTCACTGAAGAAGGATCTGACCAGCCCTAGGAAACCTGAACACCCTTAGGCCTGGAGGCCACACCAAGCCACGAAGCCTGGGATTCTTCCTGGTTGTTCTGGGGTCATTGGCTATGATACCTTATTAGATGGGGGCCCTAAGGCCTGAGAAAAGGACCCCCCCAAAAACTTCCTGGATCCTTGTAGAGGAGAGAGGAGGGATAGTGTATATGGGGACATCTGTTCTTGAGCCAGACTGCTCAGCATCTGGGAGAGGCTTGATCTCTCCCCATCCCTAGATTCCCATGTCCCTCCCCTGTCTCCCTCTGGACATGAAGAGTGTCTTTGTGGTTGTGAGGGTCAGGAGCAGCAATCAGTCTTGATATGTAGGGAATGACCCTCCTCCCCTTAAATCAATGAGAGTGGTTGCACAAAGGGCACTAGATCTTTCTAGTCTGGTCTCCCCTCCCACAAACACCTCTTCTCTTCTGCGGTCTCCTCCTCTAAGAATCCCTGAAGCCCCTCCCCCCAGTTCAGACGACCCCCTTCCCCTTCCTCTTTTGGGAGGGATTACTTTAGGATATCCAGAGTTCTGGCTTCTAGCCAGGTCCCTAGAGTCAGTCCTGGGGCGAGGGGGTGGTAAGGGGGGAGATAGGCCTATATCTGGAGGTGAGGGGGGCCCTTCCCCCTTCCTCATCTCCATTTTCTCTGGTCTTGAGTTTCTCTGTATCCCTCTCCCCTCTATGGCCCATGTTCTTTGTGTGTGTCTGTGAGCTGGGGGGGGAGGGAATAAAGGGGGGAAGGCCTGGTCCAGTCTGGCCTCCCTCAGGGCTCTGGTGTATCAATGGCCTCAATTGTCTGGCTGCTGCGTCCATTGGGAGGGGGTTGAAGTTTAGGGGAGGAGTGGTCTTCTTGAACAAGTGTATTGTGTGGAGGGAGGAGGAGGGGAAGAGAGCATAGGAAATTAGAGAGGAGCACCCTGGGATTTCCCACCCAAGAAAGTGGGAGTTACCTGAGTCCCACAAGCTGGATGGGGGCATGGCGGGGAGGCATTTGGGGTGAGGTGGGGGGGGTTGAATAAGGCATCAGAACAATTTCCAAGTCTTTTCAGAGATCTCCACTGAGGATAGGATAGCAAGAAATTAGACATCAAAATGAGCTTCCCTCAGCTTGGGGTCTGAGACTTGGGAAATGATAGCTGACATTAATATAGAGCTTTAAGATTTACAAAGCACTTTATGTACTATCTTATTTGATGATCATATTAGCCCTGTAAGGAAGTGGCTGTTTTTATCCCCATTTTACAGATGAGGAGACTGAAGAGCACAGAAAGTGACTTATCCAAGGTCACACAGCTAGTAAAGTCCTGAAGCAGCATTTGAACCCAGGTTGTCTTCTTGACTCCAAGTCCAGCCCTCTATCCTGATACCCCTCTGGAAGAGGAGAGAATGAGGAAGGCTCTCAGAACAAACTTCCTAGTGATATTAGACGGCCAAGGGAAATGGGGCTCCCTAGTGGCAAAATGGATGGAGCATTGGACTTGGAATCAGGAAGACCTGAATTCAAATTCTGCCCCAGACACTTATTTGCTGTGTGACCCTGGACAACGAATTTTACCTCTCTGTGCCTCAGTTTCATTATCTCTAAAAAGAGGGAATTAGACGTAATGACCTTGTGATTCCAGCTCTAAATCTAAGATTCTATGACCTTTTCTGCTGGCAGTCTTTCTAAGAGGCTTAGGTACAGCTGCTTTGATTCTCATCCTGAGGCAGGAGGACCACTGCCTGGGCCCTCTAGATTTCTTCTCCTCTATGATTAAACAAGAGCCCTTTTCTGTACAGTTAGTCAGTCAACAAACATTTATTAAGTGCCTACTATGTGCCAAGCACTGGGGATACGAAGAAAGACAAAAATCAATCAGTAAATATTTATTAAGCACCTACTATATGCCTGACATTGTACTAAGTGCTGGGGATGAAAAAAAGAGGCTAAAGACAGTTTCTGCCCTCAGGGAGCTTACAATCTAATGGGGGAGACAACATGCAAACCACTACGTACAAACAAGGTTCTCTATGAGATAAATAGGAGATGGGCAGCTAGGTGTCGCAGTGGATAGAGCTCCTGCCTTGGGGTCAGGAGGACCTGAGTTCAAATCCAGCCTCAGACACATAACACTTACTAGCTGTGTGACCCTGGGCAAGTCACTTAACCCCATTGCCTTACCAAAAAAAGCCCAAAAAACAAAAAACAGAAACACCAAGATAAATATGAGATAATTAACTGAGGGAAGACACTAGAATGAAGTGGGATTGGGAACAGCTTCCTGGAGAGGCTGGAATTTTAGCTGAGACTTGAAGAAAGCCAGGGAGGCCAGAAGGTGGAGGATGAGAAGGGAGAGCATTCCAGGCGTGGGGCACAGCCAGAGAAAATGCATGGAGGTGGGAGATGCAGTATCTTGTGTGAGGACCAGCCCGGAGGATGTACATTGGTCCCCAGTCCATGCTAGGGGTGGCCTCCCACCCCAGGCTCTCCTTCTACAGGCCTTAACTGTGACCTTGCTCTCTGCAGGCGAAATGAGGAGGTGACCCACATTAAAATCCAGAACTCGGGGGATTACTATGACCTCTATGGGGGTGAGAAGTTTGCCACACTGGCTGAGCTGGTGCAATACTACACAGAACAGCACGGCCTGCTGCGGGAGAAGAATGGGGACGTCATTGAGCTCAGATACCCCCTCAACTGCCAGGACCCAACATCTGAGAGGTGAGCTTCAAATGCCTGGCATGACATTCAAGGACCCTCTCTCTCCCCAGCTTCATGCCTGGAGAGAGACTCACAGAGGGGCTGTCTAGGGCTGCTTTCTAACTTATCTCAAGGATGATGATGATGATGATGATGATGATGAGGACAATGGCTTCAGGAAAAGTCCTATCCCTGACCCACACTGGTAATGTTGAGTGACCCTGGACAAACCATTTAATCTCTTAGTGCCGTAGGTGACTCTCTATGGCCAATCTAAGTTACACACTAGTTACTGATATGCATCAGTGAAGGGAATTTCCACACTGAGAGTTCCCCATTCCCTGTGATGGGAATCACAGGTCCAGACCCCCCCCCCAAAAAAAAATGTCCAAAAGAAGAGTTGGTACTTGTCTAGTGCTTTCTGTTTACAAAGCATTCTTGTATATTGCATTTCAGTAGCTCTATGAGGGGAGTACTGCAGGCTATCTTTATTTTGCAGGTAAGAAAACTAAGGCTCAGAAAGATGAATTGGCTTGTTTAGGGCAATCTGATTACTAAGGCAGGATGAGAGGCAGGATCTGAATCCAGATCTCTTCTGACTACAAACCTAGAGTTCTTTGGACTACACTAGGTTGGGTAGCTGTCCATGGTTATGTAGCAAGAAAGATTGAAGTTAATCTGAGCAGGGAGAGTCAGGTGTCTGCCTCCCCCACCTGCAGTGGGCTGCCTCAGCCCCAAAGGGGGCAGTTCAGACTCCTTGGCACTGTGCTCTCTACATACCCACCCACAGTTGGGGATTTAGCCCTGCCTGGAGGCTTCATGGACAGAATGGATGGAAAGCTTTCTAGAAACAAGTCACTTGTGTTGGAATGAAGAACTGGTTTGGGGGTGGGGGGCACTCCTTTCCAGTTCCTCTCCTTATAGCTATTAATTGGCTATGCCCTGCAGTGACCCCTCCCCCCTCTGGGATCCTTTGGTACCATCCTCTTCGCCACCCCCCACCCCAGACACATACATATACACATGCCAATCAGAAGGGGAGGCCCAGGCAAGGGAAACAGAGAGAGAGAGAGAGAGAGAGAGAGAGAGAGAGAGAGAGAGAGAGAGAGAGAGGCTCTCTGGCCAAATCTCACTTCCTCCAGCTGAACCCCCTTTCCCCTTCCCCCCCCCCACCAGGGCCTTCCCCTGCTGCTGTGGTGACCAGTTATAAATAATAGTTCATGTTTCTATAATGCTTTCTAGTTTATAGGCCTATGAGCTAGGTAACACAAATAGCATTATTATTTTTATATTAATACATAATCTTGTGGGTATGGGAACCCCCACCCAAATAAACCTTTAAGTGAAAATTTAGGGAGTTGCCCCCAGCTCAGTGGGGCTAAGGACCTTACCTTACCCAGAGCCAGCCTGCTAGTAAGTATCAGAGCAGGAGATTTGAACTCAAGACTATTCCATCCACTATACCACACTGCCTCTCATCCCCATTTTACAGATGAAGAAGATTCAGAGACCAAATGACTCGCCCATTGGTCAAACAGATGGGAAGTATCATTGGGGTTCGAATTCAGGTCTCAACTTATTTGTCTAGTGTTCTTTCTGGGCTACTGGAGAGCCTCTGTAACCCTCCTTGGGGCTCAACCCCATTCTTCCTTTATGTGAGGGCAAATAGTAGGGGGTGGGGGGGAGGAGCATCCCAGTAAGATCAAGAAGATTGAGTTCTTTTGCCCAACTCTGCCCTGGTTTCTCTAGTCCAGAGTCATTGTGGAGAAGTGAGAAGGACCCAGCAGACCTGGAGGTTAGTTCCATTCCTACCATGGCTTCTGAGCGTCCTTGGGCAAATCTCTTTCTCTCTGGATCTCAACTCCATGGTCTCTAAAGTGCTGGCCAACTCAGACAGTATATGATTCTAGGTAACAGCAGCCAGGCAGGGGAGGATGGAGTGCATATATTCTCCCCATGGTCCACTCTTTCCATGGTACAGGCAGAGTTAGTTACTGCTATTACAGACTCTGAGTGGTTATTCTTTATCTCCCTCGTATCCCTGTTAAAGCGTCTTCCTACCTCCTTCTGGAGACAATGACTTTCTTAATGTGGTTATTCAGTGAGGGACAGCATCCAAAACCAGGGATGTGATGGGCATCCAGTCTTCTGGCCCGGGCAGATGCATCTGGGGGAGGATAAGGTTTAGTCTTGGCAGGCAAGACATTTTGGGAAGGGCATTGATAAGCTGGAGTGAGGAGAGGTGTGTGTGTGTGTGTGTGTGTGTGTGTGTGTGTGTGTGTGTGTGGACATGAACACACTGTACTAAAGGGCTGCCCTGGGTAACAGGGATTTTGCTTGTACTACTTGGCCCCAGAACACAAAACTAGGAGCAGGGAAAGTACAGAGAAGCAGCATTAGACATAACTGAAAGGCAAATGGGCTGCCATGGGAGATGCTAGGCTCCTTGAAACTGGAGGGCTTCAAACTAAGTTTCAGATCCAGTCCCGGGTTACCCCTACCACCCACTTTCTCTGTTCCTGCTCACATATTGGTGAATCACTTCCAAGTTAGTCCCATATGTGTGGTGCCCGGTCCACTACAAATACATGTTCCTGTGTTCCCGCTGGGCCCACAATTTTATTCTTCCTTATTGGGTCTCTGTCTCTCTCTGTTTCTCTGTCTCTCTCCTCTCCTTCCTTCTCTCCCCTCCTCCTTCTCTTTCTCCTTCCTTCCCCTCCTCCTCCTCCCCCTCTTCTTCTTCTTCTTCTTCTTCTTCTTCTTCTTCTTCTTCTTCCTCCTCCTCCTCCTCCTCCTCCTCCTCCCCCTTCTTCTTCTTCTTCTTCTTCTACTTCTTCTTCCTTCTCCTTCCCCTCCTCCTCCTCCTCCCCCTTCTTCTTCTTCTTCTACTTCTTCTTCCTCCTCCTCCTCCTGCTCCTGCTCCTCCTCCTCCTCCTCCTCCTTCTTCTTCTTCTTCTTCTTCTTCTACTTCTTCTTCCTTCTCCTTCCCCTCCTCCTCCTCCTCCCCTTCTTCTTCTTCTTCTTCTTCTTCTTCTTCTTCTTCTTCTTCTTCTTCTTCTTCTTCTTCTTCTTCCTGTTCCTCCTCCTCCTTCTTCTTCTCTGTCCCTCTCCACTCACAATAGTAGCTGTTCCAAACCTTCTCTTCTCAAGCTGATTATATCAACTCTTCTCCTTAGTACAGAGAGGGCTTTGCCTCTTAACTTTACTGAGATAATAAAGACCATCCATCATGACCTTCCTTTTCTCCCCAGTTCTGTACTTCCAAACCCCTCTACATCATCTACCACTCTTCCTTTGCTGTCTGACAAAGAAGTGGCCCTTCTCCTTGCAAGGCCATCCCCTTTACTTGTTGCCTTGATCTCTTCCCCTTCTGTATCCTCCGCCAGTTTACCTCCTCAAGAGTTCCTCTGCCTCTCATCTTTAATCTCTCCTTATCTACTGGCTCCTTCCCTGTTGCTTACAAACACACCCAGATCTCCTCCTTCCTTAAAACAACAACAAATCCCCTCACAATCCCCCCACTATTTCCTCAGTCTCCTCTCCTATATTGCTCCTCCAATTCTCAGCCAAACTAGAAAAAGCCAATTGATTTCCTCCCTTTTCTGTCCCTCTCAAGCCCCTTGGAATCTGGCTTCTGTCCCAACCACTCACTCAGTTGAACTGTTCTCTCCAATGTAGCCAGCAATCTCTTGCTGCCCCCCCCCCCATCCCGTATGCTTTTCTCAGCCCGCATCTGATAACTCCTCTGCCACTTTTGACACTGGGCCGCCTTTCTCCTGGACCCTCTTGCTCCTGTTGGCATTTGTTTCATCACAAACTGGTTCTCCTTCCCATATGACTGTGTGGAGCTTCTCAGGCTGAATGCCTTGCCTGTGTTGAGCCCTTATCTGTGGGTGTCTCCCAAGGTTATGTCCTGGGCCCACTTCTCTTTTTTTTTCTCCTTAACCTCTCTTAATGATTTTATCCCATCCTGTGGTTTAATTATCTTGGCACAGATGACTCCCAACTCTAAGTCATTTCTGAGCTCCATTCTGGCATCACAGACTGCCCACTGAGCATCTCCAGCTGCATGGCCCACTCTCTTCTTAAACTCAGGATGTCCCAAGTAGGACTCCTCTTCCGTGATTCACACTTGCCTGTCTCACTGAGCTCACTGCCTACTGTCTTTGACTCTTTCTTCTCCCTGACCCTCAGGTATTATTACTCCACATCACACATGCCCTGATAACGTTTCTGGCATCCCACCTTTTTACCGCTTATATGGCCCATGCCCCAACTTGGCTCCTCTGTCCCTCTCCCGTTTGCCTCCACATTAGTCTCCTGGCCTGCAGTCTCTCTTTCTCCTTCCCTACCCCAACTCATCTACACAGCTGCTAGAATCATCTCCCTAATGCACATCCGCCAGCTCACAGCCTTCAAGGGCGGCTTCTTGCCTCTGGGATAAAGCAGACTCCTGGCGTGCTCTCGACAGCCCACCACAGTCTGGCCTCAGCCAACCTTTCCAGACTTAGTTCTCATTACCCCTCTTCATACATTCAGTGTTCCCGCCAAGCTGGACTACTAACTGTTCCTGAAACCTAGCACAGTCTGTCCCAGGATGGACCAGAAGGCCTCTGCGAGCCCCTCCGAGCCAGAACCAAAGGAAAGAACCTGGAACCCTGTACATGTAGAAGGAGGGATGGGGGTGCTGGGCTTGGAATCAGAAGGCCTAGCTGAGACACTGACTGACCGTGTGGGCTGTGGGCACGGCAGATAGATCGCCAGGCTCAGGAGGTGGGAAAACTTGGGTATTACTCTTCCACAGAGTCACACTTAATAGCTGTGGGAACTTGGGCAAAAGCCACTTAACTTCTCAGAGCCTCAGTCTCCCCACCTGTAAAATAGGGATAATAATAGTGCCAACTTCACAGGGTTGTCAGGAGAAGATGAGATGCTATGTGACAGGTATGCTACGTGTTTATGAGTGTGAGCTATTATTAGCATTATCACCAAATCATAATTATTGAGTGTATGACTTTAAGGAAGTGGGCCTCAGCTACAATGAGGGGGAGGTTCTGAGCAGTCCTGGGGATGGGTAAGAAGCGGAGAGAGACAGGATGGCACAGGCTGATGGTAGTGGTGATAATAAGGGGCTGGGCAGCATGGGTAAGAGTGCCACGCAGCGAAAAGTGTCTGAGTTAGGGCCAAACTGTGTCCCTCCTTACCCCTAGAGAACTCCCAAAGAGACATCCCTAACTGCCCTCCCCATCCGAGCTCTGCCCATTTCTGCAGAACAGGGAGAGGTCGCCACCTAGTGGCCAGTGAGGGGCTTGCAGGGAACTGTCTCCTTGACCCACCCCACAATATGTTCTATGTCAATATGGGCTCCTCCAGCCCAGCTCTGTCCCTACTAGAAGCCCAATCACTTTAGGTCATTGGATCATGGATGGAGAGCTAGAAGAGACGTCAGAAATCATATAGTTAAACCTTCTTATTATACAGATGAAGCAAGTTAGACGCAGGGGCAACCTTCCCGGGTCTTATTCTATTATCCCATGAAATATGAAAAGTAAGACAGTCCCTGCCTACAAGTGACTTGCCCACAGTCACACAGCTAGTCTGTCAATAAACATCTATTAAGCACCTACTATGTGCCAGGCACTGTGCACATACACATACAAAAAAAAAAGGCAAAAGCTAGTCCTTGGGGCAGCTAGATGGTACAGTGGATAGCGCACTTGTCCTGGATTCAGAAAGACCTGAGTTCAAATCTGGCCTCAGTCCCTTGACACTCACTAGCTGTGTGACACTGGGCAAGTCACTTAACCCCATTGCCTCGCTCAAAAAAAAAGCTAGTTACTGCCTTCAGGGAGTTCACAATCTAATAGAGGAGACAGCATGCAAATAACTACATACAAACAGACTATAGACAGGCTGAATGGGAGGAAGGTGCTAGATTTAAGGGGGATTGGGAAAGGCTTCCTGGACAAGATGGGGTTTGAGCTGAGACTTGAAGGAGGCCCCAAGGCAGATTAGGAGGGAGAACATTCCAGGCTTGGAAGGGAAGAAGGCAGGATTTGAACTTGGGTCCTCTGATGCTATAGCTAGTCTTTTAAACACTGCCCAGGTCTCCTGTGTCGGGTGCTGAGGGGGAGGCAGAGCTTCCAGCAATAAGCAGGTGACGTTGGCCCACAGTCCTCTGCCCTGGTCAGACACCATGGGTTCAATCTTGGATGCCACAGTCCAGAAAAGGCATTGAGGGGGCAGCAAGGTGGCCCAGTGGTACAGCACTGGCCCTGGAGTTAGGAAGACCTGAGTTCAAATCTGGCCTCAGACACTTACTAGTTGTGTGACCCGGGGCAAGTCATTTAACCCCAATTCTCCCCTCCCCCCAAAAAAAGATTTTTTTAAGAAAAAAGAAAAGACATTGAGAAGCTGGAGAGTGTCTGAAGGAGAGTGGCCAGGATGGCAGAGGACCTCGATGAATGAGAAAGTATCGTATCTGTGATAGGCTTGGGGAATAGAAGGCCTACTGTTCCAGAGTGGTTCTGGAGTTCAGAGGGTCTGGGTTTCAATTCTACTTCTGACACTTGCTATCTGTGTGACCTTAGACAAGTCATTTAAGCATTTTGGGCCTCAGTTTCCTCATCTGTAAAACAAGATGACCTCTGAGCTCCCTTCCAGCCCTTACTTATGGTCCTATGAAATAGAAAAAGGGAGATAGTCCTGCCTACAAGGGGCTTACCATCTAATAAGATGAGACAATCTGTATAGGACAGGGGCAGCCAGAGAAGGGAGTGTTGGCCTGGGGAGTCCCAGGGATATCGAGTTGATCCATAGGGCAGCTGGCTGCCAAGCCCTTTCTGGAGTAGATGGTAGAGTTGATTTGATTACTGAAATATAAATGGGGGGGGGATGAATGTATCAGTAGGGCAGATGGCGAGGTGTCTGAGGGAACTGGATGCAAAGCATGGTCCGGGGCTGGCGTGATGCTCTGTGTTTGGTGAGCTCATTCCCACCTGGCTGCTCAGCCTGGGGTGACAGTGCTTGAGGGAGGATGCCATGGCGGGTCTGAGCCTCTCAAGGGCTGGTGGGTAGAAGAGTCTTCTTCCATTTGGCCCCAGAGGGATTGGGAGCAGTGGGGGGAAGGGTCCAAGAGGTCAGGAAAAGCATCTGTGGCCATTTGAGTTGTCCCAAAATGGAGGGGGCTGCCTCCAGAGCTGGTGAGCTCCTCTGCTGCAAAGGCTGGATTGTCACTTGTCGAGGAAGTTAGAGAAGGGATTCCTTTGTGGGTATGAGGGGACTACTGAGGTTCCACCCAACTCTTCAGATTCTGTGATTTCAGTCATGAGGAGGAGCTCTGGGTCCTGCCTTGAGAAGGCTCCCAGATTAACCCTGGATCTTGGTATATCTGTCTGGGTGCAGCCCTTGACCTGACTTGGCCTGGGCAAATCCCATCATTGTCCTGAGCTGAACAGAGCCCTTACCTGTCCCACCGTCTCCATCCCCTACCAGGTGGTACCATGGACACCTCTTCGGCAAGGAGGCTGAGAAGCTGCTGACAGAGAAGGGCAAACCTGGGAGCTTCTTAGTACGAGAGAGTCAGAGCAAGCCCGGGGACTTTGTGCTGTCTGTCCTCACCCAGGAGCTGGACAAGCTAGAAGGTGGTGACCGCCGGCCCCGGGTCACCCACGTCATGATCCGCTTCCAGGTGTGGCTTCTGGCTGTGGTGGGGCAGGGCAAGCGGCAGGGGGAGGTACGGGGGGGGGCTCCCACTCACACATCTCCTCCCCAGGTGGATGGCAAGTACGACGTGGGCGGAGGCGAGCGGTTTGACACCCTGACGGACCTCGTGGAGCACTATAAGAAGAACCCCATGGTGGAGAAATCAGGGGCTGTTGTGCATCTCAAACAGGTACTGCTGGTCCCATCAAGCCTCAGGACCTTCAGGTCTTAGAGGTCGCCTCTGCCATCAAGGGTAGGGGATCTGATCTTCCCCAACAAGGGTGAGGAAAGGCCCTCAGAGCGAAGGGCCAGGGATGCTGGCTCTTGTTTTCTCCATCAGTCAAGTGAAGGGGTGTTTGAGGTGACCCCTGAGGTGTTTTCTGCTCCAAGATTTAGGGTCCCTGTATTTAGCCTAGAGAAGAAAAAAACTTATTTGGGGGAGAGGGGGATTACAGTTGTTCTAGTATTTGGCTGCAGCAGATAGAGTGCTAGGCCTGGAGTCAGGAAGACCCGAGTTCAAATGTGGACTTAGATGTGTCCTAGCTGTGTGACCCTGGACAAGTCATTTCACCCTGTCTGCCTCAGTGTCCTCATCTGTAAAATAAGCTGGAGAAGGAAATGGCAAACTGCTCTAGCATCTATGCCAAGAAAACCCCAAATGGGGTCACAAAGGGTTGGGCACAACTGAAATGATTGAATAACAACAAAGTCTTTGGCTGTCCCAGGATCTCAGAATGGTAGCATGGCAGGGACCTCTGAGGTCATCTAATCTAACCTATTCATCCCCACTCCAACATACCTATTGAGTGGCCATCCAGCCTTTTCTAGCACGTGAAAGATGGATTAACCCCATTCTGCTTGGCCTCAGCAGGCAGAGCTAGGAGCCATGGGGGGAAGCTCCAGAGAGGTGGATACAGGCTGGTTGTCAGAGAAAACTTCCCAGCAATGAGAGCTGTCCCAGTGTGCAATGGGCTTCCTGGGTGGATAGCAGGCTCCCTCTGGTTTGAGAGATCCACATAGAGCCTGGGTAACCATGTGCTGGGGATAGGGGCAGCTGGGGGGGGTGGCAGCTGGGGGGGAGGTGGAAGCTGGGGGGGGTGGCGGCGATTGTTTCTTTTTCTGGTATGGGGTAGAGTAGTTGGCCTCTGGAGTCCCTTGGAGCCACGGCAATCAATAAGCACTTATTAGGCACCTCCTATATGTGAGGCATTGCAGATACAAGACAAACCCCAATCATCCCTGCCCTCAAGGAGCTTACATTCTAATAAAAAGAAACTCTTGGAGAGGGTCAGAAAGTTCCAGGACGCTTGGATAGCCAAGCTACAGGACTGGTAGAATAGCGGTAATCAGTTTAGTTTAGTTTAATGAACATTTGCTATGTGGCTACTATGTAACTGGCATCATCCTGGGTGCTAGGAATAGAAAGACAAAAAAAAGAACAGGGCCTTCCCTCAAAGAGCATACATTCTCCTGGAAGGAGACAGTGTGCGAACAGATCGATAAATGAGGTCATCTGAGGAGGAAGAGAATGCTAAGGACTGGGGGGAATCCAGGAAGGCTTCCTGTAGGAGGTGGCAGCTGAGCCCCGGAGGAATCAGGGACTTCTCAGAGGTGGAGAGGAGGATCTAGGTTAAGCAATGGTATGCTGAGTTAAGAGAACAGCCAGTAGGTCTATTTGTCTGGAACCTAGAGTATGTGAAGGGGAGCCATGTGAAATGAGCCTGTGAAGATGGATGGTGACTGGATTGAGGGGGCTTTAAACATCAGGCTTGAGCAGGTTACTTTTCATCATGGAGGCAATGGGGAGCCATCAAAGGCTTTGGAGTGCAGAGTGACGTGGTCAGATCTGTGCTTTAGCAATATTTGTTTGGCTGCTAAGTGGAGGATAGATGAGACAGTCAGGGGGATACTGGAAGCCTAGAACCATTGCAGTTGAACAGAAAACGTCCAAGTTTCTCTGAACGAGCCTTTACAACAGCCTCCATGGACACAGTGCTGGGGAAGAGAGGATCAGAAGAGCTAGGAACAGGGGAAGCAGAGGGCTGGCCAAGCTGACCCTGACCCCGTTCTTCTTGCTAGCCATTCAACGCCACCAGGATAAATGCTGCTAACATTGAGAACCGGGTCCGAGAGCTCAACAAGACGGCAGACCAGAGTGAGAAGGCCAAGCAGGGATTCTGGGAGGAGTTCGAGGTAAGGGCAGAAGATCTGGTTGCTGCCTCTAATCTTGGTCCCTAAAGCCCCCAGACCCAGCACCAGGGAGCTGATGTGTCTGGGGTCTTGTCTTGGCTCTGTTCTTGCCTGACATTATGACTTTGACTATGTAACTGAGTCTTCCCAGGCCTTGAAGAAAAAGGGGATAAGAATGATCTTGATCTGAGATGGAGTATGAGAACGGAGAGGAAGAGGTTTGGGATCTGGGGGCAGGGTAGGGTTAGGTTTAGCTATGGAGTTGGGGCTGAGGCTGGGCTGAGTTCTAGGGTTAGTGCCAAGGCTGAGCTGTAGGGCTGCTGTCAGTTCTGGGGTCAAAGCTGAAATGTGGGATTGGGGCTAAGGCTGAGCTGTAAGGCAGGGGATGGGACCAAGGCTGAGCTGTGGGGCTGAGCCAGGGTGGGTCTTATCTTCCTAGATGCTGCAGCAGCAGGAATGTAAACTTTTGTACCCCCGGAAGGAGGGGCAGCGCCCTGAAAACAAAGCCAAAAACCGCTACAAGAACATTCTCCCCTGTGAGGACCTCAGGGTGGGGGCCCGGGGGTGGGAGAGAGCCCACTGGCCTGCCCTTTCTAGTCCTGGATTTCTTTCCCCCTTCCCTCCCTCCAGTGGGTAGTTCTTTGAACCTTTCATGCCCTGTGCTGACTCCATCACTCCCCCTCCCCAATATACTCACCTACCTGCACACACAGACATGTCTGAATACACCCAAGTGTTCTTCAGGTATTCACATCCCTCCTTTCTCTACCACAGCTCCCTCTGTTCTTCAGCCCCAGACAGGTCAAACACTGGCAAAGGAGCATGAGGAGGGAGGGAGACCAGGGTACCCGGTGTCCTGGCATCGTGTCCTGGTGCCTCAGCCTGTGGCTCTGGGGGTCCTGGGCACCCCTTCCCCCAACTCCCAACCCTTCCTGCTTGTCTCTCCCTTTTCTCTCACTACCCGCTGCAGTCGACACTACCCGCGTTACCCTGAGAGATGTGGATGGGAGTGTGCCAGGTGCTGACTACATCAATGCCAACTACATTAAGGTGTGTATGTGTGTGTGTGCATGCAGGTGTGGCCATGTACACAGCTTTTGGTATAATCACGTGTGTCTAGTGAAAAGAACATTAACTTTGGAGTCAGAGGCCTGGCTCAGCTACTTATTCATTTTGTGACTTTTGACCTCTCTGGGTGTCAGTTTTCTCATCTGTAAAATGGGTAGACAGTGTGGGAGGGTCTGCCAAGAAAATCTCTCTAAGGGACTCTTCAGCTTATGTGCTTGTGACCTTGTTTATACAAAGGAATCCGTGTGTAGAGAGAACGGTGTGATGTGGAGGAAACTGGATTTGGAGTCTAACGGCCGGGGTCTGAATCCCAGCTCTGCAACTTACTTGCTGTGTGACCTTGGACAAGTCACATTCATTGCTCCGTGCCTCAGTTTCCCCTTCTGTAAAATAAGGGTTTGGACCAGATGGCCTCCAAGGCACTTCCCAGTTCCGAGTTTGGTGACCCTTACAGCTAGCTCCAGGGGAACTGGGGGGCTCAGGCTGTGGCCTGCTTTCCCTGCTGGTGTCTTAGAACAAGGGTCAAGCAGCGGTGGCTGGACACCTTCCATCCTCTGGGCTTTGGGATTCATTATCGAGAGCCCCATTTACCTCAAAATTCCCTTCCTGGGCAAAGCCCCAAACTTGGGACTTCCTACCTAGGTTACCTGATTGTAATCTGCAAGTGATCTGCCTCTTTGCAGATGTCTATTGTCTCCTGAAGGTTAAATTCATTTTTTGCCCCAGGCCATCTCCAGCCAGGCACTTGGATCTAGAAGAAAGCCTCATTGAGCTCCTGCTGGGTCATCCCGGCTCCAAGGCTCTGCTCTCCTCTTTGCCCATCTCCATCAGAACTGTGTAGGAGGCAGAGGAGATGCAGGCTGAGGGGGCTGCTGCAGAGAGGGCCCGTGTTTGTGACCGTGACCGTGACTGCTAAGCATCCCACCGGTCCTCTCTTTCAGAGCATCCCTGAGGATGGGCAGAGCCAGGAACCTGCGAAGGTATACATAGCCACCCAGGGCTGCCTGCAGACCACAGTCAATGACTTCTGGGCCATGGTGTACCAGGAGAACACGCATGTCATCGTCATGACAACAAAGGAGATGGAGCGAGGACGAGTGAGGGGGCTGGCTTTGGTGGACGTGGGGGTGGTGGGGTCACATTCCCCAGCAGGGCCAGGCCTCACTGTCTCCCTCCCTCCAACCTCCCAGAACAAGTGTTTCCGCTACTGGCCAGATCAGCACTGTATGAAGGACTACGGCTTTGTGCGTGTGCGCCATGTAGCAGAGAGGGAGGCTCAAGGCTACTATGTGCGGGAGCTGGAGATGGGGCGCACAGACAGGGTGAGCCTCTGGAGGGCAGCGTGGGTGGGAGGGTGAGTGTGATATTGGGGGCTGGGGGAGAGGACATGGAGATAGTGTTCTCTGCCACGGTTTGGGAGGGGGCTTAGGGGCCAGGAGCCAGACAGCAAGGTGGCAGTGCCCACCTGGGAGACAAAAGTGGAGGGGTGACAGTTGGGAGGAGGCATTGGGGGTGGGGGAAGGGAGCATCTCATCCCTCATCTCATCCATTATCTCGTCAGCTTTTCAATTTAGTTTGAATTAACAAATGTTGATTTCTATGTGCGGCACGGTGCTGGGGGATGGGGAGTGGGGAAAGGGAACATACACAGAGTCAAAATAGTTCCTGCCCTCAAGAAGCTTACATTCTAGAAAGAGCTGGGAGGTCAGAGGATCTGGATTCCACATCTAACACTTACTACCCTTATCAGTCACTCACCAGAGAGCCAATAATCAAAATTATTAAGGGTTTCTTACTAGGGGCCAGGTATCCCCCAGATCTGGGGATCCAAGAAAGACAAATGACCTTGGGCAAGTCAATTAACTTTTGGCATCAGTTTCTTCAACTGTGAAATGAGGGGCTTGGGTTAGAAAACCCATACATAGATACATAAATGCAAAATGATGGAGTCAGGAGTCTCAGATGCTCTCCCTCCCTTTGCCCTGGCCCAGGAGGAGCAGCCAAGGAAGGTAACACATTACCAGTACTTCAGCTGGCCAGACCATGGGGTCCCCATGGAGCCTGGTGGTGTTCTTAGCTTCCTGGACCAGGTGAACCAGGCTCAGAGCAGCGTCCCAGGCTCTGGTCCCATTGTCGTGCACTGCAGGTATTTCTGCTGCTGGGGAAGGGGTGGCTGCAGGGATTGGTGGGAGTGGGGGGAGGGGAAAGAGATCACCAGCAAGCCCCTCTGGGGTGACTCGATTTTGTCCCTAGTGCTGGCATTGGACGCACGGGCACCATCATCGTGATTGACATCCTGGTGGACACCATTCGCAGGCAGGGTATGGCTGCTCCCCAGTTCCTAAGACTCTCACCTTCCCTTCAGGTTTCAAGCTTCATGGAAGTCCATCAGCATTTACTAAGCTCCTACTGTTTGTCCAACCCTTGTGCTGGGCTCTGGGAGGGAGAGACACAGTTTAGATAAGACAAGATCCCTGCCTTCCCTGGGCCTGCAGTCTAGTGGGGTACATGACACGAACACAGATAAACACACAAGACTTCAAAATAAGCATGTCAAGGGTGAAGCCAAGGAGATCATGGGGGCTGCCTGGAGAAGGTGGCATTTGAATCAGGCTTTCAAAGATGAGCAGGGATTTTCACAAGAATATTCCAGGCATGGGGAGCCTCTGAACAAATGCACAGAAGTGGGAGATTGCAAGTGTGTTCAGGGAACAGAGAGAAATTTGGGTTGATTGGAGCTAGGTAGAGTGGTTTCAGGCTGTGGAAGGCTTTGAATGCTAGGCTAAGGAATTCGAACTTTTGTGACTGAGGAGTGGCATGACCATATTAGTCCTTGAGAGAGGTACTTGTGTTCTACCCACTGAGCCTCCTGGCTGTGTTGACTGAAGAGACATTGAAAAATCTTTCGCAGTCATCCCCAGAAAAGTGCTAGCTTGGGTCTGAATGAGTTTGCCAAGGGAAAGAAGGTGGATAGAGCTAACAAGAGATCCTTGGGGAACAGCCATGTTACAGGGTTGGGAGAAGATGAGGCAGTGAAGGAGACAGGAGAACCAGAGGTCAGAGGGGAACAGGGAGAATCTCCAAAGTCAGTGGAGGGGAGGGTAGACTTTAATAAAGTCTGATGTTATAGTTGTTTTCCAGTCATGTGCAACTCTCTATAATCCTACTTAGGATTTTCTTGGCAGAGATACTGAGGGGTTTGCCATTTCCTTCTCCAGTTCATTTCACAGATGAGGAAACTGAGGCAAATAAAGTGATGTGACTTGCCCAGGGTCACACAGCTATTAAGTGTCCGAGGCTGGGTTTGAACTACTGAAGATGAGTCTTCCTGACTCCAACCCAGGCACTCTCTTGCACTATGGCGCCACCTAGCTGCCCAAGAAAGTCTGATCTATTGTGTCAATTACTGTAGGAAGGTCCAGGTGGATGAAGACTGAGAAAAGGCTATTGAACTTGGTACAAGAGGTCATTTATGACCTCTGAGGGGTCATCCAATTGTGAGGGAGTGGTAGAGACAGAAGCCAGAGTGGCTTGAAGAGAGAATGGGTAGTAAGGAAGTGGAGACATCATGTGTAGACAGCTTTTTCTAGTTTAATTGGATGAGGAGGGGAGAGATGGAACAGAAAAAGACCAGGAGAAAGATCACTGCTTCTGGAGTGTACATGACGTGGGTTCAAATCCCATATCTGGCCCTTCCTACCTGTGTCAATCGTTAAGCATTTATTAAGCATTTACTATGTGCCACGAGCTGGGGATACATTAAAGAGCAACAATGAAGATTCTGCATGACTTTGGATAAGCCACTTAATTTCTGGGGCCTCAGTTTCTCCAACTATAAAATAACGGGGTGCACTTGATGGCCTCAGAAGTCCCTTCCTGGATGAACTGACAGCTTAGGAAGATTAGGGGAAGCATTTTTAGAAATGACAGAACCTTAGAGTTGAAAGGTGCTTCAGAGGTCACCTGGGGAAAACCTCACCTGTGCCTTTTCCCCTTTACCCTGTCTCTGGAAGAGGTCAGCTGGCCTCTCCTTGAAGATCTTTCATCAGAAGAAACAAAACAAAACAAAACAAAAAATTAATTTTAAAAAAAGAGATCTCATCAAGGGAAGCCTATCCACTTCTGGATAGCTTCAGCTGTTATAGCCAGTCCTTCCTTACTCTGGGCTGAAATCCACTGTTTGTGCAACTTTGACCTTTTGAGCAACCAGAGGATGTAGTGGATAGAGAGAGTGCTGGGCCAGGAGTCAGGAAGACCTGAGTTCAAATCCAGCTTCAGTCATTTACTAGCTGTGTGACCCTGGGCAAGGCAGTTGACTATTGCCAGCCTCAGTTTCTTCATTTGTAAAATAGGGACAGTAATACCACCTACCTCATAGAATTGTTGTGAAGATCAAATGAGATATTTTTGAAGCACTTAGCATAGTGCCTGGCATATAGTAGGTGCTATATAAATGCTTATTCCCTTCCCCTGGTCTTGCCTTCTGGGCCCAAGAAGAAAAAGGCTCATCCTTCTTCCCACAGGTCAACCTATGAAGTGCTTAAAGAGAGACTGGGGAGACGTGAAAGTGTTTGTGGGTGAGATGAAGAGGGACCAATGTTGAGGGACAGATTGAAGAGAGCTCAGAGAATGAGAAGGATGGGGATGGGATCAGGGGGCAGGGAAGATTCGCTTGTTTGCAGTAGGAGCGCTAGCTGGCTTATCTTCCGTGCCTGTAGGGAGGAGAGAGGGACGGACGATGCTGAGGATGTCTGAGAAATGGACAAGGCAGGGCTAGGGGACTTTCTGTTGGATTTCAATCTTCTCATCAAAGCAGGGTGTTGGGATGTGCCTGCTGGGCCCCAGACACTGCTTACCTCCAGCTCCTGGGACTCCTGTATTCCTGCCGCGTGAACTGCATGCCTCCTCTGCCTCTCCCCACCCCCTATCTAGGGCTGCACTCTGTGTCCCTAGACCCCATGTCCGAGAAGTTAATGTCTCTTCTTGTCCCCCCAGGGCTGGACTGTGATATTGACATCCCCAGGACCATCCAGCGGGTACGACAGCAGCGCTCTGGGATGGTGCAGACTGAAGCCCAGTATAAGTTTGTCTATATGGCCGTGCAGAGGCATATTGAAGGGGAGCAGTGGAGGCTGCAGGAGGAGCAGGTGAACCAGACCTCCCCTCCCAGACCTGTCCCCCATGCCCTTTGACCCCCTGTGCCCCATCCTGGATAAACCTGCCTCCCATTGCCACCCACTGGATTCAGTCTCCTCTCCCCATTCCAGTTCCTTTCCCTGCCCTTGGTACCCCCCTTCCCATACTGACCTCTGCCCCCCATCTTGCAGCGCAATAGGCGGAAGGAGCGGGAATATCTAAACATTCGCTCCCAGCCCTCGGACCCCTCCAGAAGCAAAGGGCTGTCACCCTCCAGGGCACAGTCTGTGTGAGTGGGTGGGGGAAGGTGGAGGATGGTGGGGGAGGGAGGGACACCTGAGGGGAATACAGGGGTGAGACATGGTGGGGAATAGGGTGGAATGATGGGGACTTCAGCAGTGGATGGTGTGTTTTGGGGCCCAGCTTACTCGTGGGGGCACTAGAGAGGGATCCCAGAGACTTGCCCTTCCGGCACCTCCCCCAGCATTAGACAAGGTTCCCACTAGGGGGCAGCAGATGACCATGGGCCCTACTGGGTAGCTCTGGGCTTCTAAGTGAGCCCATCCCCAACCCCCAAGAACTAAGCATCTCTTGGGGAGACTTGATAGGGGTTGGTTAGTAGGAACACAAAAAATAGACTTAGGAAAATAGACTTAGTGGTTTGGGTGGGGGCTGAAAGGGGTGGCTGCTAGCCTCCATTCAGATCTGTCCAGAAGCATCTCCCTACCTTGGGTCTGAGGCCCAACTTTCTTCCCCACCAGGGTGAGCGAGGATTCTGCCTGCATCTATGAAAACCTGAATGTTAGGGCCCCCTCAGTATCTGGACTAAGCAACATGGGAAGATAAGGCTGAGGTCTCACAGGTACTCCATGGGAGAGGGGTGGAGCTTGGGGTTAGTGATGCCAACCTAGGTGAGGCACTGGAGTGGGGGGGAATGGCTCTTCTGCTCTGGGTATAGACCTTATGCCCTCCCCTCCCTTTCCCCAGGGCTGGTCATGTTCACATCTGTCCATCTATCTGTCCATCCTCTCCTCCTGCTGAAGCAAAGTCCTCTGAGCAGTGACTGCAGCCTGTAGCAGGAAGTCATCTGGGAGGCAAGGGGAAGAGCATTAACTGTGCTCCCCTTGCTCTGGCAACACCAGACTGGCTACAGGCTTTTCTTGGTTGGGGGGGGGGTTTAAAAAGAAAAAAATGGAATTTTTTTGGAGGGGGGTTGTTTTGTAAAAAAAAATATGTTAGAGTGATTTCTAGGGACAAGATCTTTTCAAGAAGATATATTCTGGAGGGGCTGGGATCCCCCTTTCTCAGACCATACTCTCCCCCATCCCTTTCCTTGTGAGATCAAGCTAGGCTGGGGCCTAGGGAGGGAAGGGCCAGCCCCATCCTCCCTGTTTGTTTCAGCAGCTGAACCCTGTACCAGGAAGAAGCAGGAACAGCTCAGGGGAAAACTACCCTTCTGACTGACAGGGGTGGGGTGGGGTAGGGTGTGTGTGTGTGTGTGTGTGTGTGTGTGTGTGTGTTCACATGGAGGGGGTCTGTTTGGATCTTCTGGTGTGTGTTTCTTTGTGTAACTGAATGTGTATGACACTGAACCTTTGAATGTGTAATATGGGTTTGATAGGTGTGCACTGTTTGCCGTGTGTCTGTGACTGCGTGTGGGGAGTGTGTGTGTGTGTATCTGTGTGAGTCACTTAGCCAACAAGCATTTATTAAATGCTTACTGTGTACCAGGCTCTCTACTAAGCACCATGGATACAGAGAAAGGCAAAAACACTTGTCTCTGTGGTCAAGGAACTCACAGTCTAAGGGGGGGAGGCAGTCTGCAAAACTGAGTGCGGCTGAATCCAAATCTGAGTGGCTGTCCATATGATTCTGCATGTTCCAGAGTGTGTGTGAATCTGGGAGAGGGGCCTCCCTCCCCCTCCCCTCCTCTGGGACCTCTGACTCCTCCTAGGCTTCGCCAGGAGTGGTCCCACCTTGGCCCCAGCATACAATCGGCCCCTTAAGACTCTGTTTCTAGTAAATGCTGGACCTTCTCACAACGTTGTCTTTGAGCATTTGTTTTTCCTGTGTCTGGGTGTGGGGGAGGGGGAATGTGAGTTGGCCTTGGTGCTCTAAAGGTTCCAGCCCTGCCCTCACCCCTCCCCCAGCATCAGGCAGCTTCATGGAGGAAGTTGACTGTCTTGGGAGGTAAGAGGTAAGGTGGATGTGAGGACTCAGGAACCTGCACCTCCCTGGCCCTCCCAGTCTGCCCGGGTGACTGGGTGATGGGACTGCATTCAACACCCCCACTCCTGAGGATGGGGAGAGGACGCGTGGATGCCGACTGCATCTTGTCTGGGCACCAGTTTTATTTGTCTTGCAGAGGATAGGTTATGGGGTCTGAAGATGGGATAGCCCCATTGGAGGGGTGTGGGGTAGAAGACAATACGCACGATAGTTTCTTGTAGGGTGGGGGGAATGAGAGGGGAAGAAGGTCCCACAGCCCACCTCACATCCCCCATGCCCTTTGTGTGCTTATTTCTGCCTTAGCCTATTCAGGTGGGAGTGTCCTCCCAAGTCCTCAGAGGTGCCTGGAGGCAACCATGACTCAGGGTAATCCTGGATGCAGCGTTCAAGGCCTCTCTTTAGTGGCTTGTCCATCCTCCCTACACAGTTCTCCCCTCCCCATGAAACCTGGATCCTGGAAACTGCCTCCTCTCTTGGGGTGTTGAGGAAGGATCAGCCTTCTGGTGGGAGGGCTTGCTGACCCCTTTTTGGGGCTGCGTATCCACCTCTAGTGTCCTCCTTCACCCAACTGTCACCTGTGGCTCCAAGAAGCTATGCACACAGCAGCCATACCCCAGGAAAACCATTTTGGCGGACAGGCTAAACCAGGTTGAGGGTAACTGAGGGGCCTCAAACCCATTGGTGAGCTAGGGGGATGTCTACACCAAGTATGAGAAGACTTCCCCTGGAGGAATGGTCAGGTAAGAACAGTTTGTTCCAAGGGTCATGAAGGTAGCTGAAGGAGACACTGTGGAGTGCCCAGAGCTTGGTCAGACATCTGAAGACACCGCTGAATCCTAGGCCATCACCATCCATCTTCATCAGTCATCCTGACTTTTGGCCTGCCACTGGACTTTGATGATTCAGGAAAGGAGAGTGAGGCAGAGTCAGCCTCGCCTAAATCCAATTCGCAAGCAAGTCATCACCCATGATGTCGTTGGTCCTTTTGGAAAGAAGGACAATGCTTCCTCTCCTGCCTCTCTGGCCACCCCTGTCTTCTGTCCTTGTTCTTTTTCCTCCTCCCACCTTCTAAGTGCTTATAAGTGTGTCTATCCCCTCAGAAGTCACTGACTCTCCTCTCTTTGCTCTCCCCCTTAATAGGAGCTTGTTGGATTGGATAAATTTAATCCATCCCTCTCCCCACACCAGCACCCACTTTCACTATCACTTCCATACAAAGAACTCCCAGATCTCTGCTTCTGGTCTGTTTCTCCAGTCCATCATTGCCAATGGCTGCTTGACACATAGCTGCTTGGACCGTCTGCCAGCATCTCCATCTTGACATGTTTGAAACAGAGCACTCCTTCTTCCCTAAGTCCACCTCTCCTCCTATTCATTCATTTAACACACATTTATTAAGGACTCCCTCTGTGTGTGCATGTGTGTATGTATTTTAATGAGATCTGTGAAGAACTCCCCTTTATCAGCTCAGGGCAAGTCACATAACCTCTATCTGCCCCAGTTCCCTCATCTGTGAAATGGGAAGAATAATAGGGCCTATTTCCCTCTCAGGGTTGTTGGGAGGATCAAATGCAGATAAAATGTTTCGCAAACTTCCAAGTGAAAATGCTAATGAAAAGGTTGGACGTGGCTTTGATCCTTGTAGTCTGGATCAAGTGACTTGACCACGGTCACACAGCCCGAATGCATCAGAGGTCGGGCTTGGACCCAGGTCTCCCCGACATGGAAGCCACTCTGTCCATGGTACCGCTCTGTCCTCTCACTTAAATGCTTGTTAGACCTGAAGAAAGGGGATCGTTGAAGAGCACAAGGCTACTCCTACTCCCACCTTCTCTGGGCCTGGGTTCTACCTGGGATGAATCTAGAAATCCCCAGAGGCTGAAGTTGAGGTTTGATTTTTTTTTCCCACAGAGGCACAGATACAAAATTATTTATTTCTTTATCCAACAAACAGCAATTAACAAAGGAGGGGGGCAAATATTGCTCCTTGGTTCCTGCCTGCTCCCCGATCACAGGTCAGTCATGGATCTGTGGGAAGTACTGAAGAATTGAAAGTTTGCCAGTTAATGCCCAAGATCTGCTCAGACCAGTGGAATGATGGGGGGGGGGATTAGAGAGGTCAGCAAAGTCTGGCTCAGTGCCCCCACCTGAAGACAAATTCTACTAGTGGGGGAAGAGGGTTTAAGGTCAGAGTCAGACCAGGGAAGTAGGGGAGGGTGATTCTTGAGGAGGGGCAATAAGTATTGGGCAGGAAGGGCTAAAGAGCAGGATGGGGTCCAGGGGAGGAGAGGGACCAGCCCTGCCCATCCTGGGGAACCCCTAGGGAGAGGATGGTGTGGAAGATACCAGAGCCTCAGGTGTGAAATGTCCACATAAAAATAAAAATAAAATACACACAAGCTATAGAAAATTGCATTATCACTGTCCCAGGGGGCACTCACTTTGCCCCCCCATCCTCGCCCACCCCGCCCTCCCCTTCCCACCTAGTTCTTTTTCACATTTTAATGAAGGATCCAGTAGAAATTCTAGAGCTCTAGGCCAGGAGCCAGCAGAATTGGGGTCAAATCCCAGCTCTGTCCCTGGCTCAGTTTGTGGCCTTGGACAAGTCATTTTCTTCGTAAAGTAAAAGAGTTAGAGTAGGTGCCCAGTAAGGTCCCTTCCAGCTCTGATGGGTCTGTGAATCTAGGATAGCTCAATTAAGTATTATCTCCTCATTTCACACCCCCCTCCATGCCCCCCAAACAATCAGGTCCTTGAGAGTCAGTCCCACGGTAGAGTCTGGACGTAGGACCTCGGAAGGCTGAGAAGGCTAGGTAGGGGGAGGTCCAGCAGCCAGGTTGTCAGTCAGGCTAGCCTGGGGTCCAGGCCAGATTATTGCACTCAGAGGAGGTGGGGGTGGGGCTATCCTGATTAATTATCATTCAAAGGTGAAGCGGAGGGGGTGGACTGGTGAATTATCGAGGAAGGGGGACTGTTCGTGAAGCAGCGAAGGTTGCCAGTCTTGAGGACGCACTGAACGGGCCACAGGACGAAACAGAAGAGGATTATCAGCAGCACGCTGATGAGGACGATTCTTTTCCAGTCACTGCAGTAGGAACATCTGGCCAGGATCCCTCTGCGTCGAGGTGGGATGGGGGACGGGAGATTGACAGTATCTGGCTTGCTCATGCCCACATCCACACAGATGCAAGTCGGAGGCTCGGACGTGCTGGGAGGCAAGGGGGGCCTGTAGCAGAGTTTGCTCCCGTCCATCCAGACCGGCTCCTCCTTCCGCAGATGCGGGGCCAGTGACGCCAGCAGCTCCTGGTCAGTGCGCAAGGCCGGGGCGCCGGTCAGCGGCACAGGTGTGGGCTGGCGGCAGAGCGGGCAGGGTATCGTGTCGTCCGACTCCCCAGCAGGCTGGGCTGCCATGAGGCGAGCCAGACACTCCAGGCAGAAGACGTGAGTGCAAGAGAGGACCTTCGGCGTCTTAAAGACATTATCATATCCCGTAAAGCAGATGGAGCATTCCAGCGGGGACGATACCTTCTCTGATCCGTCCTCAGGGGAGCCTGGGGCTGGAGGGGACATGGGCATCATGGGCGTCACCACAGTGGGGCTGCTCAGGCCTGGTGGGGGCACCCCAGTGTGCCATACTTGCTCGGTGGATGACATGCTTCCCGTCTGGGGGACAAAGCAGAGACTGAGTCAGAGACCAGAGAGGCCCTCCCTTCTCCCATCCCATCTCGAATTCTCAGAGTCCTCAGAGAAGAAAGGCCAACCCCAGTTCTGCCCTCTGTCCCCTCCGTTCTAGGACATCCTGTTTCATACCTAACTCAAGTCATTCCTGCCACGATCTGAATCCAGCCACTGCCCTCCATTTGGTCTAGATGAGATCACCCTCCTTGGAGTATAACTGAGTTCAGCATTGAACACTTCGTGTTCAACCAAAAAAAAAGTCTCAAAGATTTTATACACACACCTAACAGATATCTATTATTTCCTCTAATCTTCACAACAACCCTGTGATTGAGGCATTGTTTTTATCTCATTTTACTGATGAAGATATTGGGGCCCATTAGGGTTAAACTAGTGTTAGTGCTAGGATTTGAATACATGTCCTTCTGAGTCCAGGACTAACATGTTATTAGTTGTGCCAGGCTGCCTCCAAGGACTGGAATTCTGGCTGGATTCAAACCTAAGTCTTATTGATGCCAAGTTCAAAAAGAAGGATATTGTTTAACTGAAATTCTCAGTCTGTTCAGTCATGTCCCACTCTCTGTGTGATCCCATCTAGGGTTTTCTGTTTCCTCCTCCAACTCATTTTGCAGATGAGGAAACTGAGGTAAGCAGGGTTGAGTGACTTGCCCAGGGTCACACAGCTAGCAAATATCCAAGGCTGGATCGCTCTATCCACTGCACTACCTAGCTGCCCCAATCTCAGTTTAGCCCTGTGGAAGTAAAAAGAGAAGGTCGTCTAAGTCTCTTGCTAACCACCCTTACTCTGGGCTTCTTTTTCCCTTAGCAAGGCTAAACTGTCTTTCTCCGAAGGCTAAGCTCTGTGTGTGTGTGTCTGTGTGTATATTAGGGGAGGGTGGCTACAGAACCCTTCCCTCCCAAGCAGTGCCTGGGGTTTTCAGCTTGATCATTTATGAGGGGCTGGCTGAATGGAGGGAGGGAGGGAAAGCTGGGCCAGAGTCCAAATCCTGCTTTGTCCCCCTGTATCCAGGGATGTTTTGGGAAAATGAAGGGGAGCCATGGGGACCATCATGATTAAGGTGTAAGAAATTTTTATTAGAGCTTTTTGGGGCAGTTGGGGAGAGACAAGTTAAATGAAGAGACAAGAAGGCCTTGTTTCCTTAAGTTTGTGTATGTGTATGTGTGTGTGTGTGTGTGTGTGTGTGTGTGTGTGTGTGTGTGTGTTGGAGGGGGGAGAGTTGTCACCTCTTATTCACCACATCTTCATTTACAGCCTGGGGCCCTGCCCAGGCTGCAGAGCTAACAATGACCTTGGCCAAAGGAAAGGGAAAGAGGGTAGCTGGGAGGACGAGATACAGTTCTCAGGGAGCCCCTGGGCTGGGAGACATGAACCTGGACCCTCACAAGTCAACCTGTCCCAAGCTAACCCTATTATCTGCCCCACTCACCCTCCCTGTCAGGCTCCCTAGCTCTGTGGATGATGCTGCCATCCCTCTGGGTACCCAGGTTCACAACCTAGAAGCTTTCCCCCCTTACTCCCTGCCTCCTGTCCCATCCAGTCAGTGGCCACGTCTTGTCAATTCCATTTCTGCTTCTCTTCTGTCTGTCCCTTTCTCTCCACTCACAGGGGCCACCAATCTCATCACCCCTCACTCAGATTATTGTATTCAACATATGTGGGTTAAACCTCCCATGTGCAAAGCAAGATGCTCGGTGCACACAGATCCCCTTAGTCTGGGCTTTCCCTACTCTGATCCAACCTCACCCTCTACCTCATCAACTCCCAAATTAATCACTGAGAGACATCTGGAGTTAGAGTTAACTAGAGTGACCCTGGGCAAATCAGCAGACCTGTTTGAGACGGTTTCATTGACTGTTAAAGGAGAGAGACAGTGTGTCACAGCGGATAGAGGGCCAATCCTGGGCTCAGGGAGATCTGGGTTCCAATCTCACCTATGATACCAATATTGGTCTGTGTGCCCCTGGGCACATTATTTAACCTCCCAGTACTCCACGAGGGTATAGGGAGTTTCTCATGTCAGTGAAAGCAGACCCAGTCCCTAGCCCTAATAGCACTTCCCAGAGCTGATTCGCAGAATCAGATTTATTAACATATGCAAAGTGCTCTGTAAACGTTAGAGGCTCTGGAAACCTCAGCTCTCCTCCCCTCCCTCTTCCAATCCTGAGCTTTGGTTTCCCAGTGGATAAGCATCCTGGGAGTGGGGGATGGGGGGGTGAGACGCAGAATGAGGCCCCTCCCCCTCCCAAACACCTCCTGAGGTTTCAGCTCAATCAGCTCTGAGGAGCTGCCTGAGTGTGGGGAGGGAGGGAAATCTGGGCCAGAGTCCAAAAGCCTGGACCATATCATTCCCTTGCTCAGAAAACTTCACTGGCTCCCTATGCCTGTAGGCAAAAAACCAGAAACTTCTTCACCTGGGTTTTGAGGTTCTCGGCTGCACGGCTCTAACCTCATTTCAAATTACTCCCTGACAAGATAAATCAATCAGGTTGTGGATGCGGTGTCAGAAGACCCAGACTTCAGTCCCACTTCTGACACTCACCAGTTGCATGTGGCCTTGGGAAATCGCTGCCCTGCTCTCAGCTTCAGTTTCTCCATCTGTAAAATGGGCATGATATCCCCGCCACTCCCAGTTCTCACGGTCCTTGAGAGACTAATGAGAGCACATATTAAAAGTGCTAGAGAAATGTCAGTCCTTGTGATGACGGGATAATGATCGTGACTCTTCCATAAGAACCTGACCATGCCTGGAATGCCCCTCCTTCCTCATTTCAATTCCCTTCCTTCCAGATTCAGCTCAGACACCATCTCTTTCTCCAGGAAGCCATCCCTGATCTGCCACCCGAACCTGGCTGAAAATGCCTGCCCCCTCCTCCAACTGTCCTGGAGCACTTTGGGTTTCTCCTCTGCCCCCTGCCTTATCTACTCATTGACATCCCTGCCTCATTATCCCCAGGAGAAAGTAAGCCCCTTGAGGGCAGGGGTTGTATAGCTTGCTTAATCCAGCATGGCAGGAGCCTTGAACTTAGCAGAAGCTAATAAATGCTTGGTTCATTAGAGGTAATGAGAGGGTCCAGAGTGACAGGGATGTGGAGGCAGGAGGACTTGGAGATTGCCAAATCCTTCACTCTCGTCCTCTCCCTTGAGCCTCCCAACTCCCCTGTGAACTGGGGATGACACGCCAAGAATATTCTGTCCTGGCAGTCCCTGCCTCTGCTCTGAGAGCCGAGCTAAAGGATCTTGACTTTAGAAAGGACCCCAGGGGCCACCGAGTACAAGCCCCCAGGACTAGTGATGTTCAAAGATTCGTCCAAGGTCGTGAGGGTGATTGAGTATCAGAAAGGAGATTAGAACTCAGATCCCCTGACTCCTTTTTCCCATTGACCACTGTCTTCCTATTTTAAAGATGAAAAAAGTGAGAGTCATCCATAGAATGTGACTTGCCCAGGCTCATGCAGCTCACAGGTGGCAGTGTCTGGATTTGAACTCAGGACAGCACCCATTCCATTCTGCTGGTCTGGCTCCAGGCTTGTCCTACTGAAATCTTTGAGATGAGGCTGGATGACCGTTCTTGTAGAGGACCTAACCCAGTGAGAGTGCTCTATAGACCTTACAATGCTATAAAAATGTGAGCCATTAGTAGCAGTAAGGATTTTGAGGGGTGGGGTGAGGCTTGGACTGGGCAGCTGCTGAGATCTCTCCCAGCTCTGACAGAATGAGAGCCTATAATTGGGGCCCAGAGCACCCCTGTTGAAATCCTTGTCATTCTGTGACTTTGGACAAGTCACTTCTCTTGGGACCTCAGTTTCCCTATCTGTAAAATGAAATAAGACAAAGTTGTTGTTCAGTCATGTCCCACTCTTCTTGACCCCATTGGGGTTGTCTTGGCAGAGATACTGGAGTGGTTTGTCATTTCCTCCTCCAGCGCATTTTTACAGATGAGGAAACTGAGGCAAACAGGGTGAAGTGACTTGCCCAGAGTCACACAGCTAGTATGTATCTGAGGCTGGATTTAAACTCAGGTCCTTCTGACTGCAGACCCAGGGCTCTATCCAAAATAAGGCAAAGGATTAGACTAATTGACCCATAAGGGCTCTTACCTCGGGATGTCCTCTAAATCTCATCTAACCTCTCCCTTCTACAAAAAGCCTTTCCCAATTCCTCTTAATCCAAGTGCCTTCCAGATGGGGGGGGCGGTTATCTCCAATTTATCCAGTTATATCATTTGATCGCAGTTGTTAACAAATTGTCCTCTCTATCAGACTGTAAGCTCCCTGAGGGCAGACACTGTCTTTTGCCTTTTTTTTTGTATCCCCAACACTTGGCATAGTTTCCAGCACACAGTAGGAGCATAATAAATGTTTATTGACTGGCTGGACTGGACATAAGAACTTTGCCAGCTCCTAGTGAGCCTCCCTTGGCCCCTGGGCTGAGCTGAGGGCTGTCAGGACCCAGCCAGACTAGCCCTGACACCCAGGTTGTCCCCATCACCAATACCCTTCTCCTCAAGGGTCAGAACCTGTTTGGACCTCACTTGGTGACAGAGTCATCAGGGCCAACAAATATTTATTCCTCACTGGGGCGGGTTCCAGAAAGGGACAGTCACACCTGTGGCCATGCCCTGGCTGCCAGTGACTGTGGGAATGCAGCAGGGAGGGGGCAGGCTCTATGCTGGATACCTGAGGTTTTGGCTCACCACAACCCAAGAATTGCAGGCCCGTGACTCATCCGCAACACGAGATCTGGGAATGACCACACATGACCTGTCATTTGACTAACTGTGTGCCTCACATAGTGGAATGAGGAGCAGGTTCAAGTCCTGACTCAGCGTCGTACCTGCTGGGCCATCTCACACAAGTCCCCACCCCTCTCTGGCCTTCCGTCTCCTCCTTTCTGAAAAGAAGGGGTGAGACCACACAGTTTCTGAGCCCCCTTCCAGCTTTCACATTCTCTAAGTCTCTAACATCCCATGAGACAAAAGAAGGCACCCAGACAAGCTCCGCCTTGAATAAATGTGCCTACTGTTTGAAGTCCTCAATGGGATTCTTAATTGGAGAGTCAATCGTTTGCTTCCCCCGGGGAATTTTCTCTGGCTGTCTTTCCCTCCCTCCTTTTCTCTGTCTATTGACCGCCCTGGCTTTCTTTAAATCTAGGTGGATCCAGGAAGACTCATCTTCCTGAGTTGAAATCCAGCCTCAGACGCTTACTGTCTGTGTGACCTTGGGCAAGTCACTTTACTCTATATGCTCCCTCATCTGTAAAATGAGCAAGAAAAGGAAATGGTGAACCACTCCAGTATCTTTGTCAAGAAAATCCCAATGGGGTCACAGAGAGTTGGACATGACTGGACTACAACGAAATCCTACCTGCTACAGAAAGCCTTCCCCAGCCCCTCTTCATTCCAGGGCCTTCCTCTTATTACTTATTTCCCATTTATCCTGTACAGAGATTGCTTTGTATTTATTTGTCTCCTCCATTAGACTGTAAGCTCCCAGAGGGCAGGGATTATCTTTGTCTTTCTTTGTATCCTGGGCACATAGTAAGTGCTTAAAATAATGCCTGTTGATCTGAATTGTGATTTTATCATGTGTGTGTGTTTGCTTTTTTGGGGGGAGAGTGGCACACACCTCCAAAATGAAGTTTGAAGCCAATGGGGAAATCTGATTTAAAATACAAATATTTCTTTTTTTTTTTTTTTTTGGTTGGGCAGTGGGGGTTAAGTGACTTGCCCAGGGTCACACAGCTAGTAAGTGTTATGTGTTTGAGGCCAGATTTGAACTCAGGTCCTCCTGAACCCAGGGCTGGTGCTCTATCCACTATGCCACCTAGCTGCCCCCCCCAATATTTCTTTTACAGAAGCAAGTGGATAGCAAAAGCCTTCATTTGAAGTCAGAGGCCCTAGGCCCACTATTTGGCCTTGGGAAAATCCCAGCATCTATCTGACCCAACTGCCCTTCTGTAGACATGAAGGCTGGATCAAATCCAGTGCAACCTCCAGTTTGGCATCTGAGGATCTGGGTTCAAAATTGCCCTTTGCTGCTTATTGTCTATGTGACCTTGGCGGAGTAATTTCAGCTCTCTGGGCTTCAGTTTCTTTAACTGCAAAATGAGAGGGTTGGATTTAGGGGCCTCAGGAGTCCCTTTGCGCACTCGACTTAGCATCCTGTGATCTTGTCTGAGGGCATTTCTATGGAACAAACTGAAGGTGATGGGTAGACTGGACTCTTGAGAAGGGGCCATCTGTAACCACAGCACTTGCTCTTGGGGGGTGGGAGGGTGGGATGGACATTTGTTGCTGCAGATTGGAGGACTGATTTCACACAATTTCCTCTTCCCCATCTCTGTGTTCCAGCCATGCTACTCCATTTGCTGTTCTCGGTCTACACAGCATTCTCTCTCCCACCTCCCTGTCTTTGCATGGGCTGTGCCTATGCCTGGTGTGTGCTCCCCCCTTCAAGTCCTCCTGCTAGGACCCCTGGATTCCTTCGAAATTCGGTTCAGGGACCTCCTCCTTCCTGATTTGTCTCAGGCATTAGCACTTTCTCCCAGCTCCTAAGTTACTTTGTATGCATGTTAGAACGGAAAGAGTGCTACAAATTGGGTTCAAATCTAACCTTTATCTCTGTGTCAATTTGGGAGTCATTTAATTTCTCTGGGCCTCAGTTTCCCTACCTGTCAAGTGAGGGGATTGCGCATGAAAGCTTCAAAGTTCCTCTCCAGCTCTAACTCTGTGATTCTTTGTAGTAAATTGGAAATTCCTTGAGGGCAGGAGTTGTTTTATGTTTGTCTCTGGCCCAAGGTAGGTACTTAAATGTTCAGGGGAGTACATTGAACTGAACTGAGGTATCACCTGAGGGGCAAGCAGAGCCACAAACCTCAGAGCTTCAATAAGGCCAGAAGCCAGGCTGGGGTTTACCACCTGGAGAAGCCCTAGGGGGTGCCACAGTACACAGAGCACTGGACCTAGAGGCAGGAAGACCAGAGTCCAAATCCAGCCTCAAGCACTTACTAGCTATTTTGCCGCTGTCTGCCTCAGTTTCCCCATCTGTAAAATGGGGATAAAAATAGTCCCTCGCTCCCAGAGTGCTTGTGAGGATTACCCGAGGTAATATTTGTAAAGAGCTCCATAAATTTGTTGTTGAATCATTTCAGTTGCTTCCAACTCTTCATGACCACATTTGGGATTTTCTTGGCAAATGGTTTGCATCTCCTTCTCCAGCTCATTTTACAGATAAGGAAACTGAGGCAAACAGAGTTAAGTTAATTGCCCAGGTTCCCAAAGCCAGTAAGTGTCTGAGGCTGGATTTGAACTCAGATCTTCCTGAACCCTGGCCCAGTGGTGCTCTATCCACTGGGCCACCTAGCTGCCTGCTTTATAAATGCTGGCCATTTTAGGTATTTTGCTTTTCATGCCCACCGCTGAGACATGACTGTAATGCTTATATGGAAACCCATGACCTCACTTATAGGGGTGAGGCTTCTGCAGAGAAAAAGTACTAGCTTTGTGGGAAGGAGAGGTCTGGGTTCAAGTCTCAGTTCTGACGTGCCTGAGCCTCAGTTTCCTCATCTGCAGGGCAGCGTAGAAGGTGTTTTGCAGGACACAGAGCATTTTGGAAGGGCTGTTGGGAATATGAAAAGCAGCTGTGGGCCTGCTCCCTGACTGGAAATGCACACAGACACCTTCCTCTCCCGCTTTCTTCAGCTCCTAGGCTGGCTCTTGGCCTTCTGTGCATTGGGGTGGGGTGGGGGGGTTTGGGCAGGGTAAGGGCAGGTTTTACAAGGTCTGGGATTTTCTGAAAGGCACATTTCCTGTCTCCTGGCAAAGCAACTGACCCAGCCTGATGTTCCTGTCGGACACAGAACGCAGAGATCTCAAAGCCAACCTTTGTAATACCAGACTGACGATCCTGGGGCAAGAAATCATCTCTTCCACCTGGAGGCTTTGGGGAGGCCTTCCTCCCACTCCTTAGACCTAGCACCCCTGCTTCCTTCCTTGCCCGCCAGGTGCTACATTCTCCAGGGGCAGGAAGGTGCCTCCCAGCCTCAGCCTGCCCCTCTTTCCTGCCCCTGCACTCAAGCAAACACAAGTATGCAAGTGTGCATACTCACAAACGCACAATTCACAGCTTTAAGGTTTGCAAAGAGCTTTCTCACAATAACTAGAGGTAGAATTATTGTCATTTTACAAATAAGGAAACTGAGGCACAGAGCGGTGAATAATAATAACAATAGCTAGCATTTATGGATGGCTTTAAGGGTTACAAAGCACTTCACAAATGTTAACTCATTTGAACCTTGCAACCTTGGGAGGAAGGTGCTATTAGTACTCTTTTTTTTTATTAAATTTTTTTTTTAATTTTTAGGCAATTGGGGTTAAGTGACTTGCCCAGGGTCACACAGCTAGTAAGTGTCAAGTACTTGGCCTGAGGCCAGATTTGAACTCAGGTCCTCCTGATTTCAGGGCCAGTGCTCTATCCACTGTGCCACCTAGTCGCCTCTATTAGTACCCTTATTTTGCAGATGAGGAAATTAAGGAAGGTCGAAGTTAAGTGACTTGTCCAGAGTACCACAACTACCAAGTGTCTGAGGTGGGATTTGAACTCAGATCTTCGTGACTCTGGGCCTGGCACTCTGTCCGCTGTGCCACTTAGCTAAACAGCCTCATTGATGGGCTCAGAGTCACACAGCATCCCCATTTCTAAAACAGGCCAGCTCTTCTGGAGTGTGAGGCAGCCAGGGATGGTAGCAAAGAACCCTAAACTTGCAGCTAGAGAATTGACGCTCAAAGCCCATCTCTGTTGCAGACAGCCTGTGTGACCTTTGGTGATTCACAACCTCTCTGGACCATATTTTCTTATTTGTAAAAGGAAAGAGTTAGATTAGATAAACTCTGAAGCTAGAGGGCAGCTAGGGGGTGCCATCCTGCATAGAACACTGGGCCTATGAGTTCAAATCCAGCCTCAGATACTTACTAGCTGTGTGACCGTGGGCAAGTCACTTCACCCTGTTTGCCTCAGTTTCCTCATCTGTAAAATGAGCTGGAGAAGGAAATGGCAAACTACTCCAGTATCTCTGCCAAGAAAACCCCCAGTTGGGTTACAGAGAACCAGACATGACTGAAATGACTGAACGACAATAAAAAACAACCTATGGGATTTGAACCCACAGCCTGGGAGCTGCTCTCTTGTCACCAGAAGACCAGTTGGATGGCTATTGGCCCACAGTGCCACCTGCAGGGTTAAAGGTGGAAAGAGTCTGGCGGTTCCCTCCTCTGGCTCAGGCTAAGGTCCCCAGCATGAAGGGGGACTCTTCCTTTCCCTACTCCTTTCCCCTCGCCCAGTCTCCTAGAGACTAACCTCCTTCCTCCCTGATGTGTGATGGCCCGGCTGGGGCCAAGATGAATGGAAGAGTCTAGCTGGGGATCGTGGGGCTGTGGACAAGACCCTGATAAGTCAGGGTTGAGGTGGGGACCATGTGGGAAGGGAGCACAGCTCAGGTGACCTGTATCACTGATAATTGTGGGATTGGCAGAACTTGGGGGCAGTGGGACATCCCCTATCTCAGCTCTTCTTGTCCTTTCTCGTCCCCTTCCCCATCCCCCTGCTGTCACAGGTCAGCCAGATAAGTGCCCAGTGTTCCTGGCTCTGTCCTCCCTTCCCAAACTTTCTCTTATAAGAAAGTCAGACCCTGGGCTTCCTCCAGTCTGAGCCTGATTCCTTGGACAATGTAAGGCTTTGAGTGACATTTGGAACATGTGTAGATGGGAAAAGGGTGTATTTGGGTTACTTTTAGTTGGAGAGCGAGGGATGGGAACTATTCCTTATTGGTCGCTCTGGAATCACCCTCTAGGCAGACTGGATGTCTGCCTCTTGGTGGAATCTGGCTTCACCTTTACCCTCTCTGTCCTCCCGCTCCCTCCACCCCCCCCCCCCCCGTCAGCATCTCGGTTTCTTTGCCTACTACCCCAAAGCAGAGGGTGCCACTAGTGGGAGAAAACCCTCTCTAGTTTCCACGGCAGCCCAGCGGGGGCCTGCAGCCCTGGAGATGGGAGCAGATCACGTGTGGCTCTCCCCACCTCAAGAGGGGCTCATCCTGTCTCTTCCCAGCTTTATGGGCAGCCACCATGTGGCCATTAGCAAGTCTGCCCAGCCCTAGTGACTCTGGTTAAACAAGTTTCCCCAGAAGCAGGCTGCGGGTTTGAGGGGTGGGTGGGAGGGATGGCTGTGGCCCCTCAGGGAGGATTCTCCCAGCCCTAACCACCTCTCCGCACCCTGCTCCCTTCCTCCCCGTCTCTGCCTAACATATCTAGTGAACTATCTACAGGGAAAAGTAGCAGCTAGCTTAGTCAGGATTCTGGCTGGCTGAGACAGTGTCACAGTGTCACCTGCCTGCTGCCGACGCACAGTCACCTCTGGCAGGGGGAGCAGGGGAATCCCGGCTTCTAAAGGTGACAGTCAAGGTTCCAAATTGCTCAGCTCCAGCCCTATTCCTGGATGCACCACCACACTCTGGACTTTCCAGAATGTGGGCCAAAGAAATATCCCAGAAAGGGCTGCTAAGTTCACCAAACCAGACAGGAAAAATGATCCTCCCACGACAGCCTTCCCAAATAGCTGTCACACAAGGGAGAGTGTGATAGGGGCAAAGGGGACTTCAGACAAGGTGGATAGAGCCCTGGCCCTGGATGGAGTCAGGAACACCTGAGTTCCAATCCTGCCTCAGACGCTGGCTGTGTGATCCTGGACAAGTCAATTACCCCCTCTGTCTGTTTCCTCATCTATAAAATAAGAGGGTTATAAGATCCAGAGAAAGAACTATGGAGTTTGAATGCAGATCAAAGCATACTATTTGCTATTTTTTTTCTTCTGTTGTGTTTTGTTTCCTCTTTCTAGTGGTTCCTCCTATTGGTTCTAATTCTTACTTAAGACATCACTAATGTAAAAATAGGTTTAACAGGAATGTATATGTATAGCCTACATCAGATTGCGCACTGTCTTAAGGAGGGACGTGGGGAGGGAGGGGGAGAAAAATTTAAAACTCAAAAGCTTATGGAAGTGATTGTTGATAAATCAAAATAAATTAATTTTAAAAAATTAGAGGGTTATAAAGTCTTTCTTGGCTCTAAATCAATGATCCTTAGATCCCATGAATTCAACCAGAAAATGAGCAGAATGAGCAGTGACTGAAGAGCCAGAAGACCTGGGTTCAAATCCTGCTTATTCCCTGGGTGACCTTGGGCAAATCATTTCTCTGAACCTTAGTTTCCTCATCTGTAAAATGGGGATAATAATAGCACTCACCTCCCAGGGCTCAAATGAGATAATGTTATTAAACTACTTTGTAAACCATAAAGTGCTGGATAAATTCCAGTTATTATTATTATTAAATACAACAAAAATCCATTTCTCTAGTTCAGAGGTCTTCCTTTTTTTTTTTTTTGATATCGTGGACCCCTTGGACAGTCTGGATAACACTTCTCAGGATAACACTTTTAAATGAATAAAATAAAATACATAGGATGCCAAAGGAAGCCAACTCTATCAAAATAAAGCAATTATTTTTTCCCGTCCAAGTTCCCAAACCCCCTAAAATCTACCCACAGATGCCTTGGAAATCCATAGACCCTAGTTACAGTGCCTTAAATATTTTCCTTTAAATAATTCTCCCTTTCCCTTCTGCCCCCAGCCAGCTCATGCAATTACTCTCTGTGCCTAGTTCCCAGGAAGCTCAGACCCAGGCAGGGTCTTGAGGCTGACTTCCTAGGGTCGCACAGCTGGCCAGTATTGGAGGCAGGTTTCAAACCCTGGTTCTAGATACATCCATCATTCCTGCCATGAGATCATGCTCCATGTCTTCAAATATCTCTAGGCACTATGCTGATCAATAAAATAAAAATTCATTTAAAAGCACCATCCCTAATTTGTAGTCACTTTTGGTCCTCATGTGGGGGTCCCTGGTATTTTTGACATTAAATAGAAGTCCTCATACTCCCCCTGGCCTGAAGCAGAGCCTGGTCTCTGCTCCCTTCCAAACTAGTCCAGTCCAGGATGCCTGGCATTCCATGGGGCACTAAGCATTTGGCACCTGCCAAAATTGGCCCCAGGGGATGAGGAGGGAAGGGATGTGGGGAGAATGAGTCTCCCCCGCATGTGACTTGCTGTCACCAGGTCACTTCAGGGTGACTGTGTGTAAGTCATCAGCCAGGATACCGATTTTGCATTAGAGATGCCCTGGAGGCCTGACTGCCTACAATGCCACCTGGCCAGGCCTGGGGATAGACAGTCCTGGGTGGGTGAGAGGGAGACTAGAAGCCTACTTTCCCACCCTTCTTGCCACCTCTGAGGGCTTGTTTGTAAGGGAGTTTCATTAACTATACTCTGGACTGGAGGTCACTCACTCACTCATTCACCCATGGGAGAGGTTCCCAAGCCCAGTTAGCCCCTGACACTGCTGGGGGGTGGGGTAGGGGTAGGACATCACTGGACCCACCCATCCCCCAAGTCCTTCTCTGGCCAGTGGCCAAGAGGCAGCTCCAAGCCCTTCACAGCAGCAGAAAGCAGAGCTAGGAGCCCTAGCTCTGGTGGGCAGACTTACCTGGGCTTCCAGGTCAGTGGGAAGTGGTCATACTCTTCTGGGCACTGCTCTGCCAGCTAAGGCCCAGCTTGGCCCTCAGGGCCAAGGGGTGGGGTGGTGACTTGGGAATCAACTCCCGAGTCTTCTTGTGGGGACTTTTTCTGGCTCCTTTGTAAGTTGTCAAACCTGTGACTGATCCCTCTTCTTCCTACTCTGGGTAGCCCAGGTATCTTTTGCTCTGCTGGCAGGAAAAAATTGTGGCATCAAAGTCTACAGTAACCAGTGGAGTTCCCCAGGGCTTCGGCGTCTGGTCTGCCCAATGACCAAGTGGAAAGGTGTGTTCCCTCTCCCTAGAAGTACTCATTCCCTGCTGAGGTGCTATTTATGGTCTCTGGGTGAGTGGCCCCACCCACCTGCTCAGTCTGGAGGTGAGGCTCTGATTGGTTGCCAGGCTAGCAGGTGTGTGCCCAGTGCCTCTGCCAGCAAGGAGGAACCAGCTCAGAAGCCAGGTGTGTGGATGCAGGGGGATTCTCCCTCTGTCCTGATTGGGGGTGAAGGTGGGGCTGAGTACTGCTGGCCATCAGCACTCTGGGACTCCCTCTGGCAAGAAGGAATCTCTCTTCCTGGGGAAAAGAAAGTCCCCTTAATGCAAGGTTTCTCCTGGGAGGGACTCTGGGAGAGAAATCACTCCCAGACCCTCAGGGAAACTAGTCACTCCCAGGTACACACACACTCTAGGGCAAGGTTGGGTGGGATGTCTCCTTGGGAGTGTGCTCACTTCCCTCACTTCACTCACTTCAGGGGTCTTCCCCTGCCAGTCCAGGGTCTCCCCAGGCCAGGAATATTTACATTTGCTGACAGCATCTCTCCAGCTAGGGCAACAGCAGGTGTCCCCATCTCCTGATACTCCTCTGCCAGGGACCCCCCGCTCACTTTCTTCCCGGAAAACCTCTAGAGGCCAGTTTCTTTCTTTCCCAGCTTGTTGGACATCTCAGCCCAGCTTTGTCTGATGAAAGCTAGGTGATGAGGCTGAAGGTCAAAGGCCTGTGAGTTAGGGATTGTTTCTTGTGTCTCAGTCTCATTGTCTAGAGGTGGGAGAAGACAAAATACTTTCTTCTTTCTGGAAAGAAGTCTTTCCTCTCCAAGGGTGGAGAATTATTCAGTGTCTGTGGGAGGTGTGTCCTCTTTTGCTGGAGGCCTGGGAGGAGGTGATCTTTATCTGAGTGGATATGGGAGCAGGTTAGAGGATTGAGGGTGACCTCTGTCTCTGGGGATGACCTCTGTCCCACAACCTAGTGGTAATATATTTCCCTTTAGGACTTGGTTGGTAGGGATGGGAAGGGGGTAGAGAGAAAAACCTAGGGTTGATCTGTCTCCCTGTCACTAAGACTAGCCTTTTCCAGTTGTCTCTGAAGGCCTGGGGGAAAGCCTTTCTAAGGGACAGGGAGTGACCTCTTTCCCTAGGTATGATCTCTTTTTCAGGACTTGGAGGTCTCTTATTAGGCAGAAGTCCTCTCTGCCTGGGAAAGTCTCCTCTTCCTGGGGGTCTGGGGAAAGACTTTTTTCTTGGGATGTTTGGTGTTATCTTCTAGGGATGGAGGAAATTTCTCCCTGACAGTTTAGGACTGACCTCCTTGCCTAGGGGATGGGGGAGGGGGCAGGCAAGCTCGATTTGAGAGTCTGGGTCTGAGTATGACCTCTTTCTTGGAGATAAAGGGGTGATTTCTTAGGAAGAATATCTCCCCCTGGAAGCGTGATATGTGTGAGCACTCGGTGACATTTCTCCTTGTGGGTGACTGACCTCTTTCAGAACCTAAAGGTATGTGTGACGTTTTTTCTCTGAGTCATTGAAAGGGTCCTCTGTAACTGAGACCTTCCTTCCTGACATTTTTGGGGATGGTGTTCTATCTCCCTGGGGCCCTGGGAGTAACCTTTTCTAGAAGTCCCAGGACTAGTTTCTTTCCCTGGGGAGGTGGGAGTGGGGTGGGGCTGGGGCTGATGTCTATCCTTAGGTATAACTTCTCTCCTGGAGTCTGTGGGTGTCCTCTTTCATGAGGAGTGACCTTTCTTCTTTAGAGGCACTTCTTAAAACTGAGAAGTCGTGGAACAATCTCTTTCCCTAGTGAGTCAGTCAAGGAACACTCCTACTTTATTATTTTATTTATTTATTTATTTTAGGCAATTAGTTAAGTGACTTGCCCAGGGTCACACAGCTAGTAGTGTCAAGTGTTTGGTCTGAGGCTAGATTTGAACTCAGGTCCTCCCAACTTCAGGGCCAGTGCTCTATCCACTGCACCACCTAGCTGCCCCCAAAGGAACATCTCTTAAGCCTCTGCTGTGTGTCAGGCACTGAGGATACAAAAAGAGGTGAAATATAGATCTTGTCCTTTAGAACCTCAAAATCCAATGGAGGAGACAACCAATTGAGGTGGTTTGGGGGCGTTGCTGTTTGCCTTCATTCTAGAAGAAGACCAATGACATCACGAGGGTGATGACTTGGGTGTGAATTGGATTTAAATGAGGCAGAGCTGTGCTTGGGGTGGAGAAAAGGGGGTGGGGGGGCAGAACTGGGCTTATCAGCTGTCTTCAAATATTTGAAGGTCTGTTGTATGAAAGAAGGATTATAATTGCTCTCCTTGGCCCTAGAGATCGACCAGGAATAAAGAGTGGCTTGATAGAAGGAAGCCCTTTCTGACTTGGAGAGCTGTCCAGAAGGGGAATGGGCTGCTCAGGGAGGTGGTGAGTTCCCTTTCCTTGGGGGTCTTAGTTGTTGGGGATGTTGGTGGGAACTCTTTGTGTGTGGGGTGGATTAGATGGTCACTAAGGTCCCTTCTGACTGCCCACAACCATGACATTTTGGGGGTGTGTGTGGAAGGATGGCATTCCCACCTCGTCAGAATTCACAGAGCCTTGATGCCCCAACCCCGGTGCCCTCCATGTGGTGAGCCCTCATTGATGTTCAGAAACATTTCCAAAGACTTGGTCACCCAAGTTTAGAACCTCTTGGGCAAGTCACCTCCTCAGATGAGGAGGCTGGACTGAATGATTAATCAATCAGCCAGCATTTTTAAGCACCTACTGCGTGCCTGAGAAAAGGCAAACTGACCTAGGTCAGAAATAGAGTTGGTCAAAGCTGCTCCGAGGTAGGACTGGTCAGTGAGTGAGGGACTCTTGTATTTCTAGCCTGGACAAGGTGGAGAGACATAGTTTAAAAAAGAAAACAAAACTTAACCCTGAGAGCCTCAGAAGAAGAAGAAGAAGAAGAAGAAGAAGAAGAAGAAGAAGAAGAAGAAGAAGAAGAAGAAGAAGAAGAAGAAGAAAACAAAACAAAGCCACACACAACAAATAGAATAAATAGATTGAAAATAAACACACAAATGTTAGATCCAAGGTTGTCTGGGAGGGAGGGTCTGGCACTTGGGGGACATCAAGAAAGGCTTCAAGCAGAAAGTGCTGCTTCAGGAAGGGTGGGACTCTATGAGGCAGAGGTAAGGAGGGAGGGTATTCCAGGCATGGAGGATGGTCAGTGCAAAGGTAGGGAGGCAGGAAATGGAAGGTCATAGGTGAGAAGGAGAGAGAGACTGCCAGCCAATTGGGCTCTACAGGGTGGGAAGGGAGAGAGCTATGTAATTAATGCCTGGAAAGGTACATAGGAGCCAGGTTGCAGAGGGCTTTAATAAGCAAACTGAGGAGTTTATATTTGATCATAGAGACTGAAGGGAGCCATTGGAGTAAGAAGGGGAAGCAGGAAGGCCAGGTAGGAGGCTATTGCAATAGTTCAGGTGAGGATGTCTGGAAATGGCAAGATTGGGCAATCGATGGACTATGTGGAAAGTGAGACAGAGGAAGGCATTGAGGACAACTGGAAGGGTGGAGATGTCTGGGACAGAAATAAGCAGGTTTGGAAGAGGGGAGAGCCTGGGGAAAAGATAATGAGTTCAGCTTTAGACTCGTGGAGTTTGAGATGCCGAGGGGACCTGCAGCTTGAAATGTCCAATAGACGGTGATGTGGGACCAGTGCTCAAGAGAGACACCAGGACTGGGTAGATCAATCAGGAGTCAGCTACACAGAGATGGTAATTAAGCCCGTGGGAGCTTTTGAGGGCGCCAGATAGAGATTTCTAAAGTCCTTTCCAGATAAAAATCCTATGGTTCCGTGATCTTGAGAATACAAAGCAGGGGAGTCTGGAGACAGAGGGAGCTCAGGTAAAGGAGGGTATGCAGGGAAGAGAGAAGGAAGGGAGGGGCCCTGCGCAGTCACTTCTCATGTTTTCTCTCCCAGTGGGAGTCAGTCTGGCTCCCAGGGCTTCAAGTTATAGAGTGATGGAGAGGGGGCATCGCACCTGGTCACCCCCTCTTTCCCTAAGAATGTGTTTTCTAGGTCTGTCCAGGGAGGAAATAGTCACTGACTCCCTTGTCCCTCTCCTGTGCAGTGGAAGGAGTCTTGCTCTTGTTGTTCATTCAAAATAAATTAGCTAAAAAAAAAAAGGCTTTGGCTCTAGCTCCGTGTGATCCTGAGAAAATCATTTCCTGTCTCTAGGCTTCAATTTCCTAGGACGAAGAACTTAGACTAGGGTATTGCTAAGAGCTCTTTTAGCCAGAGAAGGGTCTTCTCTGTCCCAAGGTCCCCCCTGATTCTGACATTCTGTGCTCTAAGGGATCTCTTACCCTTGGCTTTCTGTGTTTGTTGTTCAATTGTTTCAGGCGTGTCTGACTTTGTGACCCCACGTAGGGTTTTCTTGGCAAGGATACTGGAGTGGTTTGCATTTCCTTCTCCAGCTCATTTTACAGATGAAGAAACTGAGGCAAATAAGATTTAGTGACTTGCCCAGGTTTATACAGCCAGTAAGTGTCTGAGGCTGGATTTGAACTCAGGTCTTCCTGAATCCTGGCCTAGTGCTCTGTCCACTGGGCCACCGAGCTGCCCCAGCTGTAGGGTTCTGTTCATTACCTAATGAACTGATCTCCATCTTTGCCTCTTTAGTAATCCAGGGCTCTAGCCTCAGCTCCCGTTATATTTTGACTCATTCTTTTCTAGGGGGAGAGGTGATAAGTGGACCACTTTTCACAGGCTGGGACCCAGACACTGCTGGCATCCCAGCCGGAGTGTGCATCACCTTCACAAAGCTCTCCTCTCTTCCCCTCACAGTCAGTGGGTACGGGGGTAGTTGACTTTCCTGACAATCAGTGCTCAGGGATACCCCATCTCATCTAATGGTGTCTTCTGATACTAGGGGGTCTCACCAATCTTGGAGCCAGATTGGGTCATGTACCTGGAGGTGGAGGATGAGAGTGAGAACTGAGATCAAAGGCTGAAGGGAAAAGATCTAATTCTCATGT